TCAGTTAATAACATTACCTTGTCTGTCACTGTTTGAATGAATATTTGTGTGTTTTCGTTAGATTAGTTTGTGTGTATTAGAGTAGTTTAATAAAGTCTTGGTTGATTTTACATACAAGTGTCTTGTGCTGTGTGCTTACAAGTTACTGCCTTAAACTGTAGATTTCGTTACCTTGCTCATATAACCAGTGATCATAATTTTATGATATTATTACCGTAGGCCAGGGGATAATACAATGCTATCTCACGACCAATTCGTACGAATTCGTACAAGTGATTAAAAGGTGGCTAATTCGTACTAATTCATACGACCTCACCCGTACGATTTGTCTAAACCCACGTGATGGGTAGGTTTAGGGGCGGGGCCAGGGGTAGGTCATTCGTACGAATTCATACGAATTTGGTAACTCGTAAAATATGTACGAATTAGCAAAAATCATACGAATTTGTACGAGTGAGGTCGTATGAATTAGTACGAATTAGCCACCTCGTAAAATTCGTACAAATTGCCGTGAGATCGGGCTGGATAATATTATGTCCAGAATTAATAAAATACCCTAATCTCAATTTATCAGTGGACGAATAATTGATAAAGTGTTAAATATTAATTCTGAATAATTTGCAAGTAAATTAGGTTCTTATTCACTGTAATTAAATCACCCTTTGAGTTATACTGATCCTAGTTCCCTACATTAAAGGTGTAAGGTTAAAGCACACACCGTAAAAGATGGGGCTTTAATTGTTCAATTACTGGCCAGAATTGAACAGTAAAGCGCCTGCTAAATAGCGTGTGCGTGAATATGCTTAAGGATAAGAAGTTTAAAAATGATAAATCACCAAATCAAAGACGACTAGAGAAACATAGTCAGGAAGAAATAATCTAGAAAAGATTATTTAAAGAAAACCCAGAAAGGGTTAAATGTGCACATAAGAAATAAGTTAAAGAGTGAAGAAAATACAAATAAGTCTATACAAAGAGGCTAAGCTATGGCAGTAAATGCCCAGGAAAAATCCAGCAATATTTTTATACAAGCCTATACATGGGGTGATTCTCGTGTATTAGGATGACAGAAGATAGCCTTACAGGCAGAGACATCAGTCCAAGAGATGGAACCAGGAGAAATACTCCTTTGGCTTCCCTCCAAAGAGGGACTGAAAGCAGGAAAAATTAAGGAAAGTGAAGTAGGTCTAGCAGTATTGCAATGGATGCAAGAATTAGGGAAAAATCAAAACTATAATATACAATTACAGTGTAAAACCCCAGAAGCGGAAAATATAATGAAAACTATTAGCAAGCGAGATGAAGGCAGAATAGAGATTTATGATATGGTAGGTAAAGCACTAAAAAGAGAAAAAGGAGAAATACCAGACATGGAAAAAGTCAAGAAATATCAGCTTGGTATTAATGACTTTGAACAAGCGGAAGAAATCCGCTTGACAATACCAGTAAATGAAGAAGAGGACCGGGAAAGTGTTATTACAATTGCCCATCAATACACACCTACCCCAGAATCATACGAGCTAGAGATAGGCAGAATAAGACTGTGACTGAGAACAGAAGGGGGTGTTGTAATACTAAATGGAAATAAACACAGGACAGCTGGATCTGGAACAGCGGGGGCAATTTTTAGTAAACTAGGTATTCAAGCATTACAGGAGATAGAAAGTATGGACCCCAAAATTGCGCCAACATTGAGAGTAACCTCTCGGCTCCCTCAGTGGAGTTATGTAGCGCGTACGGTAATGACAGATTGCAGAGCTGTCGTGTAGTGCAGAACACAGCAGTAATAAGAGAAACACTAATTAGAAAGGAAAATCAAATACATATGACTTTAATGGGAACCGGGCAGTTTAAACATCCAGTAACGTCAGTAATAAAAGGAATAATATCGGCTATGGGGAATTACAGAAATGTCCCAAGAATGTCAGTTGACCATAAATGTATTAAAGCTACACTGTGTAACTTTTTTTGTTTATTCTTAGCTAAAAACACTTAGTTCTTTCAAAAATATGTGCTCATTAATGTATATTTACTTCGTTCAAGTAATAAAGTATTCTCATGAGTGTATAATATGCCATTGAAAATACATACGGGTAAGGGGTTCTAATGTCGGTCGCCATGTTGCCCCTGCATCTTGAAAGTACATTAGCCAAAGAGGGACATACCCGTTAATTCAAGCTTCGCCTTTCGCGAACCAATGATAAAAGTTACTTTACTAAGATTAGCTTGCATTCGTCTAGGAACCTGCATAACTGATGTTAGCAATGAAATGGTAAAAAAATAACGAAAACATAAAATTATTCATTTTACATAGATGTCATATGTTACCTGACAAATTAAATTACTGCAAATTATAATAGTTTTCTAAAATAACCTCATCACTTGAAGGAACACTCATGGACGAGGTCGAACTGGAAGCCATGTTAATCTTGGACTATATTGGCCACCGTAGGAGTTAAAACAAAATCGGAATTGAGAGGAACAGAAACTAATATTCACTGGATGGTCATATACCGTTTCACTGCTAGATGGGGGTAAAAATCACACAGTGTAGCTTTAATGACTAATATAAATCAAGAAGAACGAGAAAACATTCTTGAAAAAAGGGAGGAGAAAGACCAGCCAGGACCCTCTCAGCCATCTGCTCCTCAATGTAATGTACCTGCAGGGGTGATAAATGTACAACAGGGTGAGACAGAGTCCGAAGTTGAATCTGAAATTTCAGAGTTTGCATATGACTCAGACATGTCAGATTCTTCATTATCCTGTGCAGATAGTGAAAGCAGCGAAACAGAAAATATTAACAAAGAAGCTAGACTGCGGAATAAGAGAGGAAGACAAATTGAGTTAAAACGAGTGTCACACCGATGTAGGGTATCTGGACAGGCTCACATGACATAACCATTCTAAGTTTGGGGAAAAGCTTTTAACCTTTGACTCGCGTCTAGCAACTCACCAGCAAGCGCCAGAAAGTCTGTTCCTAATGGCGTTCATTGACACTTTCATAGCGAACGTGAGTTAAAACAAAAACACCCAAAAAACCAGCGATGAGCCAGCGTCACACACATACACGGACTCTCTGTGATACTTCCCCCACAAATGAAAAAAAAAAAACCCAGAAAACTCAAGAAAAATTAGGAGTAATAAGGCAGTTAAAAAGACAGAAAAACATTCGCAATCTAAAAAGGAGAGGATAGACAAAGCTGTTAAGAAGGAGAAAATCGACTCTGACACAGAATGAAGTTTAGCCGGCCAGCTGAAAAAGAGACTTTGTAACCCCAGAGGAAAGGAGGAAGATGAAAATGTATATATTGAAATTCAGGGGACGAATTATTTAATTGAACGGGGGCCGCAATTTCTATTTCAGCTGAGCCATTAGACGAAAACGGTACAATCCATGTACCACCATATGACGGACAAGTAAAAATGGAAAAAACAGGGGAAAGATATGGTATTACTATGATTGAGGGTTCTGAAAATTTATTAGCAGCAAAATACCTGAAAAAGACTTTAAAATTGAAAGAGGTGAATTATGAGCAAGAATTAGAAAGAATAGAAAAAGAAATGAAGGGTTCACAGTGGGCAACGAAGCAGTTAAAGGGTTAGTTCACCCAAAAATGTAAATTCTGTCAGTAAATACTCTCCCTCATGTTGTTCCAACACCGTAAGACTTTCGTTCATCTTCGGAACACAAATTAAGATATTTTTGATTAAATCTGAGAGCTGGATCACTCCTCCATAGGCTTCTTAAGGGATCGAAGCTGGCCGGCCCAAAAGTTATTACAGACATCGTTAAAATAGTCCGAGTGACTACAGTGGCTCAACCTTAAGTTTATCAAGCGATGAGAATACTTTTTGTGCGCAAAAAACAAACAAAAATAACGACTTTATTCAACTATTCATTTCCTTCCCTGTGGGCCTCGAGATTTCACGTAGTGGAACTGCGCAAAGCTTCTGGGTTGTACGTCACACACTCACACACATGACCAGCGTCGGCCAATAGTGAGCCTACGTGTGACGTACAACACAGAAGCGCTGCGCAGTTCCACTACGTGAAATGTAGTGGAATCAAAACCAAGAAACACACGAGTTTGGGTGGAACACTTCATGGACGTGTTTCACACTTACATTCTGACAAATGATGGAACTGTGTATATGCTGCTTGCCAAATATGATCAATTTAAAGACCTTGTTGTACCGTACCTTAGTTTGAAACTGGAAGCTTAACACAGTCAGAATAATTGCAAGGAGTGGGTGTTGATGAAGATGATGATTATGCAATTACTGTCTTGTTTAACGTCTGTTTTGCTTAGTAGTACCTTTATGTAACCCAAGTAGTAATGCTGCATAAAAATGTATTGGAAAATTATCTGCAAAAAATAATACCAATTACTATGATAATATGCATGTATATTTAACCATATAAAAGGAGTAGATACAGATGTTTATATTAAGTAACTTAGAGTAGAGAGCATTTATGTATTAGATAAAAATTGCTTTTAAGAAAGATGTAATGCTTTAGATAAGGTATATATTTTACAGACGGGAAAGAGAAGGGCAAAGAGGAAAAGGGCCAAGAAGAGAGCTACGTCGGAAACACCTTAAAAGGGTCATGGAAGACTTGGCAGCTCTCCAATTGATGACAGCAGGAGAGAGTCTGACATCGGCAGTGAACTGTTTGAGTATAAAAGACTGATGAGAAGACTGACCAGGCAGATACTGATTGAGCGGTATCTCTCGACGCCAGAAACCCAGCTGATTACACCTTTGATTTAGACCTTGCTTTGTATTGTAAATTTGCTATTAGTTTTTGGTTTAACTTTTATTTTTTTGAAATATTAACATTAATAAATATTTCACCAAAGATTTGCCATAGTCTACTAGTTGCACGTCTGTATTGTTTTTAATTGTTAGCATATGTTTCAGTATTATTTTAAGTCTAAATATGCATTAATGCCTTAGATTCTCTTACATATTGCATTGAAGAAATGTAAACTATATAAAGCACTTAAATCAAAATCAGCAGGCCAGAATTACAATATTCCCCTTTTCCAAACTCAATACTACACTCCAATAGGTGGCGCTAATGCGCCTTAAAGTGGTTTACAAACGATCATAAAACGTAAAAGAAGAATATGGTCGTTCTGAGAAGAAATAACAGGAGAAATCAAAGCAGAAACAGCTGAATTCTGTGTGTTGTACTATTATAAAGATGGAGATTATTAAAGTGGAGATTGAAGACATGAGTGATCCAGAAACATCCAGAATAAAACATGAAGATACTGAGGAACAAATAGGTTGGTGTCCATTTTTGATTCTTGATTGTTTACTGTTGAGAAACATTAAGCTTCAAGTTCAGCAGATTGGGTGTGATATAATAAGCAGGTTATAGATGATAAATTACACATTATCATAGTCTTGTTAAGAAGTTGTCAAAAGCATTTTAATTGTATTAACAAATGAATGACAGAATTAAACTTTGCCGCATCAAAGATCCGATACCTGATACTCTTAACCACATAATATTTGTATCTTAGACTGGATGGAAGTGAAACAGCAAAGACAAGACCTGAATGAAGCAGAGGGAAGTCATACCTTCACAACTCAAGGAACAAAAGCCAAAAATCTGCACTCCTGCACTCAGTGTGGAAAGAGTTTCACACAAAAAAGAAACCTTAACAAACATATAAGAATTCACACTGGAGAGAAACCGTATCCATGCACTCAGTGTGAGAAGAGTTTTACTCAAGCATCGGGTCTCAGGAATCATCTGCTCCTTCACTCTGGAGAAAAAACATTTATCTGTGATCAGTGTGGTAGAAAGTTCATTTTGTCATCACATCTAAAACAACACCTGAAAGTTCATTCAGATGAGAAGCCTTATGTGTGTTCTCTCTGTGGAAAGAGTTTTTCACGACTGGACTGTTTTAAACTGCACCAGAAAACACACAATGAAGTGAGAGATTATATATGTTGTGAGTGTGGGATGACCTTTACTAGAGATGACCATTTGAAACAGCACCAAAGAATTCATACTGGAGAAAGACCTTACAAGTGCTCATATTGTGACAAAAGTTACACTGTATCTGGAAACCTGAAAGTGCATGAGCGAATTCATACTGGAGAGAAGCCGTACGACTGTACTCAGTGTGGAGTTGGTTTTGCACGTAAAGACAGTCTGAAGAAACACACAAAAATTCACACTGGAGAAAAACCATTCGCTTGCCATCAGTGTGGAAAAAGTTTCATACAAAAACCACATCTTATCAAGCACATAAGTACTCACACTAAACAAACGCCTTACGTTTGCCCTCAGTGCAGATGGAGCTTTACAACTGAATACAAACTTAAGATACACCTACATGTTTGTCCTGGAGAGAAATCATACTCCTGTCCTCAGTGTGGAAAGGGTTTCGCACATAAATCAAGTCTTAGTTGTCATCTGCGTGTTCACTCTGGAGAAAGACCTTTTAAGTGTACACATTGTGACAAAAGTTTCACTCGGTCAGGAACCTTGAAAAAACACGAGCGACTTCATTGCAACCACCATAGACTGTCGAGAGAACGTGCCACTGCTTGTATGGGAAGAGTTTCGCCCAATCAGGAGGTTTCGGGACTCACAGAAAAAGCAGTTTCTCCCATCTTAGAAGTTGCTGAGTAGTCTATCAATGTGTACTATATACCAATATCAATGTATTCTGATTGTACATCATGAAATAAGAAATAAAACATTTTGTCTGCGGCATTAAGTTGTTTGTGAAAATATACAAAAAATGTATACCCTATTCAACAAACAGTTTTATTGTTTCATTTGTGACCATTTTAATCCAAGTTAAATCACAAAACGTCTAATCTGAATCATCATATTTCCTTGTTTAATTAGGTTATAACATTTATTCCAAACTTTCACTTCTCTCTCTCTCTCTCTCTCTCTCTCTCTCTCTCTCTCTCTCTCTCTCTCTCTCTCTCTCTCTCTCTCTCTCTCTCTCTCTCTCTCTCTCTATATATATATATATATATGAAATCTCATGGCTGACCAAATGTGGATGGTTGTAACACGACTTTCACATGTGCATCCACTGGACCCACAAAGATATGCCAACAAATGCCACAGTCTGCTATATTGCACAAGTCTGTATTGTTTTGAATTGTTAGCATATGTTTTCTTCAGTATTATTTTAAGTCTAAATATGGAGTAATGCCTTGAAGAATTTTAAAGTATATAGTGCACTTAAATTAAAATCAGGCCAGAATTACAATATTCCCTTTTTCCAAACTCAATACTACAGTCCAATAGGTGGCGCTAATGCACTTTAAAGCGGTTTACAAACTCATTAAACATAAAAGAAGAAGATGGTAGTCATGAGAAGAAATAACAGGAGAAATCCAAGCAGAAAAAGCTGAACTCTGTGTGCTGTACTATTATAAAGATGGAGATTATTAAAGTGGTGATTGAAGACATGAGAGATCCAGAAACATCCAGAATAAAACATGAAGATACTGAGGAACAAATAGGTTGGTTTATTCTTGATTCTTCATTGTTTACTGCTGAGAAACATTAACAAAGCTTCAGTTCAACAGATTGGGTGACTGAAATAATAAGTAGTATATAGATGCAAAATGCATTACAATCTTGTAAAGAAGTTGTTAAACACATTTTAATTGTATGAACAAGTAAATGACAGACCTAAAACTTAGCGTGTCAAAGATCTGATACCTGATCTCTGTTAAATCATCAGAGTTTTAACCACATAATATTTATTTTATTTTAGACCAGACAGAAGTGAAACCGCAAAGACAAGACTTGAATGAAGCAGAGGAAAGTCGTACCTTCACAACTCAAGGAACAAAAGCCAAAAAGCTGCACTCCTGCTCTCAGTGTGGAAAGAGTTTCACTCAAAACGGAAACCTTAACAGACACATGAAAATTCACACTGGAGAGAAACCGTATCCATGCACTCAGTGTGGAAAGAGTTTCACTCGTACATCAGGTCTCAGTAAACATCTTCTCTGTCACTCTGGAGAAAAAGCATTCAACTGCGATCAGTGTGGTAAAAAGTTCCTTTTATCATCACACCTAAAATCACACCTAAAAGTTCATTCAGATGAGAAGCCTTATGTGTGTTCTCTCTGTGGAAAGAGTTTTTCACGACTGAACAGTTTTAAACTGCACCAAAAATCACATAATGAAGTGAGAGATCATGTGTGTTGTGACTGTGGGAAGAGCTTTACTACAGTTGCCCAACTGAAACGGCACCAAGTAATTCATATCGGAGAAAAACCTTACAAGTGCTCATATTGTGACAAGAGTTTCGCTCAGTCTGGAAACCTGAAAGTACATGAGCGAATTCATACTGGAGAGAAGCCGTACCAGTGCACTCAGTGTGGAGTTGGTTTTGCACATAAGGACAATCTGAAAAAACACACAAGAATTCACACTGGAGAAAAGCCATTCGCTTGCCATCATTGTGGAAAAAGTTTTATACAAAAACCACATCTTATCAAGCACGTGTATTCACACAAGACAAAAGCCCTATATGCCGACAGTGTGGATGGAGCTTCACACTTGAATACAATTAATAGATTATAGCCTAATTAATGTTATTATTAATGTATCATTTTTATGAATCATTTATAATAAATAATGTGTCTCTGGATATCCCTTATTATATATACGTGAATGGATATCCCTTATTTTGCCATCCTAATCTTTAAGTCCCCAAATCCCAAATCAAAAACAGCACATTTGTTGTTTAAAGTTTTTTTTTAAGATGAGAAAATAAGCCAAGATACTTCTTTGCATAATCTCCATTCAAAATACTAGTGATATATATTGTTTCAAGTTTAGAGTTAAAGAATGTGAAGAGATGTCTTGAAATTAGTAAGAAAAGAGTTATAGTAATTATAAAGAATTCTATAAATTAAGTTCTTTCAGCTTGTTAATTAAGAGGGTAATTATATCCATTGATAACTAGAATAGTTATTTTGTCATTATTAATTGAACTGGATCAACCAGCAACAACCAAATTATGAAAAACAAATAAATATCAATAACAAATAACTTTAACCAAAGTCATTGAGAAGTCAGAAACTTCGCTCCCATCACAGCCATGTACTCAGGAAGGGGTCAAGGGATTTGCAAATATAAACAAATATTTCCCATAACTCTCTCACCGAGTGGGTGTAGGGGGTTGTTGACCCTTGATCGCAGTATTGTTTGTTTTCAGGAAACAGGTCAGTTGCCTGTTTTTTTCGGTGTATAGTTTGTTCAGAAGATACACTATATTGACAAAAGTTTTGGGACGTCTGCCTTTACATGCACATGAACTTTAATGATATCCCATTCTTAATCCGTAGGGTTTAAAATGGAGTTGGCCCACCCTTTGCAGCTTTAACAGCTTCGACTCTTCTGGGAAGACTTTCCACAAGGTTTAAGAGTGTGTTTATGGGAATTTTTGACCATTCTTCTAGAAGCGCATTTGTGAGGTCAGGCACTGATGTTGGACGAGAAGGCCTGGCTCTCAGTCTCCGATCTAATTAATCCCAAAGGTGTTCAATCGGGTTGAGGTCAGGACTCTGTGCAGGCCAGTCAAGTTCCTCCACACCAAACTCACTCATCCATGTCTTTATGGACCTTGCTTTGTGCACTGGTGCGCAGTCAGGAACAGGAAGAGGCCATCCCCAAACTGTTCCCATAAAGTTGGGAGCATGAAATTGTCCAAAATGCCTTGGTATGCTGAAGCATTAAGAGTTCTGTTCACTGGAATTAAGGGGTCAAGCCCAACCCCTGTAAAACAACCCCACACCATAATCCCCCCTCCGGCAAACTCTACACTTGGCACATTGCAGTCAGGCAAGTACCGTTCTCCAGGCAACCGCCAAACCCAGACTAGTTCACGGGTTTGCCATCGGATAAATGACCCAAATTAATAACTTTTTTACAACAAAATTTAACCATCACTGAACTTACTTAAGCTGGACTGTGACGCTATTTTCTTCTAAAACTGCTGTACAGCCGAAACAAACATTGTTGCATTATTTTCCTGTTATCACTGTAAAGCTGCTTTGAAACAAACTGTATTGTAAAAAGCGCTATAAAAATAAAGGTGACTTGACTTGACTATTTTACTGCATGCCCGACTACTATTTTTAATATTTGTTGTAAATGTATTTTTAAGGCTTTAGTAGATCTAATTTAGCACACGTTTTCGAACTGCAGTGCTTAGATGGTTGAATCATTAATCAGATGATCAATACACATGTTTTGAAGGACCTGCTTTAGCATGAGAGTCCCTTTAAAAGATACGGTCCAGTTCATCTCATGCCGTGGATGGTCGCTCGTCATCATGGCTTTGAATATTAGCTGCTGTTGGAAAGAGCTCTGTCTGCTCTCTTTCCTCCTGATCTGTGTCAATGGACAAACATCAGGGCCGTAAGTTTTTAACAGTTTTTGCTAAGAATAAATAAATAGTATATAGTCATTTTGTAAGACGTCTTGATGATTTCTCCTGTATTTATTTAACCGATCTGTTTTGCACAGAAGAGGTTTACTGTTTAAGAGACAACTTAAGGCATAAGATCATTTAAAATTAATGACACTGACAGATTTCTTTAATGATAGATTTTTAAGGTCAATATTTCTCTGAATAAACATACAAAAATAAAGAATTTAGTCACCAGACAGTTTGCTCTTTTATTTTCACTTCTCATATAAATGATCAATAGTAAATTAACTGTATTGTTTTACAAGTTTATTTTGTATGTTTTAAATGATATCTTAGCACTCATGTATGATCATTTTCTCTGGACAGATATTTCATGGTGACGTTTCCTGCAGTGATTGAGTCGGGATCTGAGGCCAAACTGTGTGCAAGTCTTCTCAAGCCCAATGAAAGCCTTGTGATGAACATTTATCTGGTTCATGGTATCCAGAGCACATTACTTCTGCAGGAGAAATCTGAGGAAGAGTTTCATCGCTGCTTTAACTTCAAGGTCTGCTATTAAAACTAGCACATAATGAATATTATCAAATATGTTTCATCATAATGCATCTAGTTTTTGTGGCAGGTTGTGAATACAGGAAATTATTTCTCATCAGGCTCCTCTGGTCAAGGAAGAATCAGTGCAGAAAATGAAGGTCGAACTTCAGGGAGCAGACTGATCTCATGAAATGGCGTATGTATGACACGCCAATTCGTATTTCCATTTTTGGCGTGCTATCAACACGCATAATCGCTTTTCAGCGTGTTTATCAACGCCTTTGAATTAACGTTATATTACTGTATTATGTATAAATATATGACCTACCCCAACCCCGTCCCTAAACCTACCCGTCACTGGGGTTAATAGCATTTATGAGTGTTCTCCTACCATCCTAGGAAAAGAAATATCGCTCCACAGATGTAGATATAGATTTTGCTTCGTTTCGCTCGGACATTTAACGGCGTACACATACACGCGGAATCACTCGGACGTTTAATGGCGTAGCAGACTGATCTCATGAAATGGCGTAGAAAGTGGCGTGTATGTTTACGCAAAGTCATGATGTCATGTTGCAGGGAGAGACTTTCAAGACGACTGAAGAGAGAAAAGTCATGTTCAAGCCTTACAATGCTCTGACTTTTATCCAGACTGATAAACCAATCTATATTCCAGGACAGTCAGGTGAGCTGTGAATGTCTCAAAGGCTTAAGCTCAGTATAATGCTTGTGTCACTGACATCTAAACCCTGATCACAGCTGATATAGCACATATAAGTAAAGCACATTATGATCATGCAACGAGCTGATGTAGCAACATAGGTCAAAGATTACAAATGTTGGACCTTGGAGCCGTAAACAGTTCAATGGATTTACAAACAAAAGGAGGAGCAGAGGAAAAGATAAGAAAAGCTACCCGAAAGCTACCTTGAAACTACAGGTACATGTGTTGAAGCTGGTCAGCTGGAGCAAAATGTCAAACATTTTTGTAACATTATGGCTAAAACAGACAGCTGTGACGGCTTGTTAAATTTGGCTCAAGACACATTCACCTGACAGCAGAATACAGTTGTCAGCCCTGTATTTGACCCTTAATGCAGTTCACACACATTTGTAATGTACAGGAGAGAAATATGACTGTAAGCAATTGCTCTTACATAAGAGCTGAAGACATCAAAACCCTTTCGAACGGTCACTTCGTATTGCGTAGCTATACGCAGTGGGGGAAACTCCTTTTTCTCGTTTTACTGAAACCTAAATGTAAAACGCATTTGCAGTTGCACAGCTAGCCCATTGAGCGTCTGGCTCGCTCATAGGCTGTGCTTCAGCAACTGCACATCCAATGGCGTTGGCGACTCTGTCGTGCGACCAATGAGATCACTCTACGTCATTACACGTCAGAGCCCGTCAAGGGGCGTGGCCTCAGCCTATATTAGTCCCCGAATTCGCCATTATAGCAGACTTTACTCCTTCAGCGACAAACTACATGTCTCTGACTATTTACTGAGCCTTCGCCGTTTGAACAAGCCCTTCAGCCTGAGCGAGCATAATCTCAGCGGACTACGCCTTCTCAGCCGTTTTCTCCTGACGCCGTCTCACCTGTGGCTATCCGGCGACGACGCTATATCCTTTCTATTGTTATATTCTGTGTTTGTCTGTGGTGAACACACACCGGCCACGTCCCCGCATGGCTCACTCTCTCCTCGCTCGTCTCCTTCGGTGGGCCCAGCGAGCACGACGACAATTACACCATACTTCCCTCATCGCCTCAATGGAAGAAGCGCGTGGGTAGATGTTCGCGCGGCTAGCTCTCTTTACGACACAAGAGAGCTACCCCGCACTAAAAATACACTATGCGCTCGCGGCTAGCTCTCCCTTGGGACGGCAAACCGCCTCGCGCGCCCACGTTTTCTTCCCTCGTTTAGCCTCGACGGAAGAAACGCGCGGGTAGATGTTCGTGCGGCTAGCTCTCTTCACGACACGAGAGCTACCCCGCCCTCAGTTTTGCACACTAGATTTGAGGCATTTTAACAAGGCTCTCATGAGATGGGCCTTCAAAATGTTAACTATCAAACATATCCTCGCGGGGGATTGGTTTGTCACAATGGATCTGAAAGATGCTTACTTTCACATTCCAATAAACCCTCGTCACAGGCCATTCTTGAGATTCGCCTTCGAGGGACAGGCCTATCAATACACAGTTCTGCCGTTCGGTCTGTCTTTGGCACCCCGCACATTCAAAAGTGTGTGGATGCAGCACTCTCTCCTCTGAGACAGAGAGGAGTGTGCGTGCTGAATTATCTCGATGACTGGCTGGTGCTGGCGCAGTCGAGAGTCGAGCTACTAGCTCACAGGGATTTGATTCTCGGCCATTTAAAATGCCTGGGTTTCACAATCAAGGTTTCAAAGAGCAAGCTGTCCCCCAGCCAGAGTGCGATCTTTCTGAGCATAGTTCTAGACTCGGTGACGATGAAAGCGCGGCTCACGCCATAGCGCGCGCTCTCAGTGCGAGCGCTTGCAGCCTCATCCAGAGCGCGCGAGCGTGCGCCCTTGAAGAAATTTCAGAAACTGCTAGGCCTAATGGCAGCAGCATCACCAGTACTCCGCATGGGATTACTGCGCATGCGCCCGCTGCAGCACTGGCTGAAACGGCGTGTGCCAACCCATGCATGGCAGTCAGGCAGCCTGCGCATCATGGTGAATCACGGTTGTTTAAGGACCCTGATTCCCTGGCGGGCTCAGGACTGCTACCAAGAGGGTGTGACAATGGGGACAATTTCCAGGAGGAAAGTGGTCTTTACAGACGTGTCCAGCCTGGGTTGGGGAACGCTACACGAGGGCGTGCCTGCATCCGGCCTCTGGTCGAGCACATGGACGAGCACAACTGTATGGAAATGAAAGCAGTTGGTTTGGCCCTGAAGATTTTTCTGTCGAACCTCAGGGGTCACCACATCTTAGTCCGCACGGACAACATATCAGTAGTGTCCTGCATAAATCGCCAGGGGGGCGTCAGGTCAGGTGACCTGCATGCTTTGGCGAGAAATCTCCTCTTATGGGCACAGTACAATCTGAGCTCGTTGAGAGCTGCGCATATCCCGGGCGTCCAGAATTTGGGTGCGGATATGCGCTCACGGGGCAACACTCCCCTCGGCGAGTGGTACCTGAACCCACAGACGGTCAGTCTGATATGGAAGGTGTTTGGCAGAGCCGAAATCGACCTGTTCGCCTCGAAAAACAACACTCACTGCAATATGTTCTTCTCGAAGGACATGGGCGTGTTGGCCCACGTCTGGCCCAACCGTTCCCTGTATGCTTTCCCCCCCCATCTCGATGATTCCACATGTCATCAAATGGGTCAGAGAGAGTGAGTGCCCAGTCTTTCTGGTGGCTCCTCTCTGGAAATCCAGATCGTGGTTTCCGGAGCTGGTTCAGTTTTCGGACACAGCTCCATGGCCTGTCCCGATGAGGAAAGACCTCCTCACTCAGGCGAAGGGAACGATGTTGCATCCTCCATGGGTGCCCCCTAAACGGGTATCCGGGGACCTTCCTGTGAAGGTGTTGAACACTATATCTGATGCTAGGACCCCGTCAACTTGGCGCCTCTATGCTTCGAAATGGGCGGCTTTTTTCCAGCTGGTGTTCGAAAACCATATAGACCAAGAGTCATGTGAAATATCAGTGGTTCTCTCATTCCTACTGGAGCTGTTGGACGTGGGTCGCTCCCCGTCCACGCTCAAAGTGTATATGGCAGCCATTGCAGCACACCATGTTATGGTGGCTGGCCAATCACTGGGAAGAAACGACCTGGTCGTGAGATTTCTGAAGGGTGCTAGGAGGATCAACCCCTCCAAATCTCCCTCTGTGCCACCATGGGACCTCTCCACGGTCCTGGGGGGCTTTGAGGGGTCCACCTTTTTAACCGCTCCAGTCGGTTGATCTTAAACCTCTCTCGCTGGGGACCGCTTTCCTGTTGGCATTCGCATCTATCAAACGAGGGGGGGATCTACAGGCTCTCTCTGTGAGTCCGGCATGTCTGGAGTTTGCTCAGGATAACTCTAAGGTCATCCTCAAGCCCAGGCATGGGTATGTGCCCAAAGTGCTCTCAACACCGTTCAGAGCACAGGTGGTGACGTTATTGGCTCTTCCCCCTTCTACGAGGATGGGGAGGTTAATCTTCTCGGCCCTGTTAGGATGCTGAGAATTTATCTGGAGATCTCTGCGTTGTTTGGGCAATCAGAACAGCTTTTTGGTCGATCCAAAGGGGATTCAGTCACTAAGCAAAGACGGCTTAGTGTAAAGTATAAAGATGGCTTATACCTCAGTGGGTCAGGTTTAGGTATCGGCTATAGGTATCAGGGCCCATTCGACCAGAGGCATGGCCTCGTCATGGGCTTGGTCATTTGGCTGTCCTAATCAGGATATTTCTGATGCGGCCGGTTGGTCCTCGCCTTCCACATTTATGAAATTCTATAATATGGAGGTGCCTTCCCTACAGGCGAAGGTGCTTTCGGTATGATTAGGGCCCGAATGTGGTCGGACCTGTCATTAAAGGATTAGTTCACTTTAAAAAAAAACTTTTGCTGATAATTTACTCACCCCCATGTCATCCAAGATGTCCATGTCTTTCTTTCTTCAGTCGAAAAGAAATGAAGGTTTTTGGTGAAAACATTACAGGATTTTTCTCCATATAATGGACGTCAATGTACCCCAACGTTTCAAGGTCCAAATGACAGTTTCAGTGCAGCTTCAAAGGGCTTTAAACGCTACCAGACGATGAATAAGGGTCTTATCTAGCGAAACGATCGGTCATTTCAAAAATAAATTAAAAAGTTTAAGTTTTATAAGCACAAATGCTCGCCTTGCTCTGTTCTGTGATGCACGTTCGTGACTCTCCTGTTCGAACTCGTTCATCAAAATGAACGAATCTTTTCGTTCATTTACAAACTGTCATTTGGACCTTGAAACTTTGGGGTACATTGAAGTCCATTATATGGAGAAAAATTCTGTAATGTTTTCTTCAAAAACCTTCATTTCTTTTCGACTGAAGAAAGAAAGACATGGACATCTTGGATGACATGGGGGTGAGTAAATTATCAGCAAAAGTTTTTTTAAAAGTGAACTAATCCTTTAATATTACGGTGCACAGTCACATTCACATATATAAATGAGACCCGCTTTGGCCGGTTATATTTTCACATACACATAAAACCCGCTTTGGCTGGTTGTATTGTCATATACTATTAACCCCGACAGTGTCTGGGTTTATTAGTGTGATATGTTGGTAATTACTGACTCAGATGTATTATTTTAGACCTGACGGTGTCTGGTCTGATGTATACATGTTAGGATTACGGCTTGTACTGGATGCTCAGGGGTCCTGAGCTGTAGTGGCAACCAGTTACTCAGTGTGGCGTTTTGCATAGCGTTCCCACTGCATATAGCTACGCAATACGAAGTGACCTCAGGGAACTGAGGTTACGTGAGTAACCAAGTAGTTTTTTAATACACATTTATATTTTACAGTGAACTTCAGAGCTGTTACCATGGATACAAACTTTGCACCCCTTGATCAGCAGGTCTGCTGTGTTTATCCTGCTTATTTATTTTCTCTTGCATTGTTGAATACATGTTTAATAAATAAACCGATATTTGGCTTTTAATCTTTAATTACTATTTGCTCTTTCACAGTATAGTTCAGTGGTTCTTGAGGTAAGAACAAAACCTGTGCAGTCATAACAAACACCTTTTAAATCTAATTAACACTATAGAAATTTGGTTATATTTGCAATTATTGTATTTTCTGTAGGGTTATTATATATATTTCTTCATTGATAGTCAGGATATGTGTAGCTGACTGTCACAAAATATCTGTAATGTGTCTTTGCTATTAAATAGGACAGTAAAGGTAACCGGATTGGCCAATGGACAAATGTTTCTTCAACAAGGTGGATTTTGCAGCGTTCTTTTGAATTAAACCCAGAGGCCCATCAAGGCATTTACAAACTGAAGGCTTTTATTGGTGACAGGATGATCTCACATGATTTTGAAGTGAAAAAATATGGTAAGTCATAAAAACAACTTATTATGACGGTAATCTTGGTGCCCTGAATAGGGAACGAGACGCTGTGTCATAAGTTACGACACTATGGGAACGTCTGCATGATTGTGTCTAGAAGCACGTGTGAAATCAGCTCAATGGTGTGGTGGAACATCATAGAGGGATGGCGTGACAACCAGGAAGGTATAAAGCAGTGCGGTCGGAGGAAATGCATACAGGTGTAGCCTCGGCCACGTCTAATGGGGCTGGATGAGTCACAGAGAACCAAAGCGGACAGTGTGTCATTTCTTGAGACCCAAATATGTCCTCTTCCTCTTGGCCGAACCTCTTCCATATGAGACACACCACCCTGGGGTGAAGTCTCCATTCCCCGGGCCTCAGCCTTGTCTCGAAAGTACGTCTGCTATCTGACTCATGGCATCCAGGGAAATATGCCGCTCTCAGTGCCAACAACTTTCCCTGGGCGCAAGGGAGGATCTGTTTTTGGCAATTTGTCAAGCAGGCGTGAGCGCAGATCCGACAAGGAAGTCGTCAAGTGATGCTTTTTTTTTCACTGGGCCTTCGAAAAAAAGAACCAGGTTTTCCTCCACATCGTCAAGAAACAAAGAAATCTTTTGTAACCTTGATCGTGTGGAATTGATGGTCTAGTTTCAGTTCTTTTAATGCTGAGATGATTACATCTATGCGTGCAGGAGAGAAACATTCCTGCATCTACACAGAATCCTACATAACGCCCAAAAAGGTGGTTCTCTGTACTAAAGAAAGAACCCTCTTCTTTGTGTTCAGCCTCAACCCCTGCTCTTTCATATTAGTGAGGACAACATTTTGATGTTGAACCTCCATGCGCTCTGAATAAGCTATTATCAACCAATCGTCAATGTAATTCAACATGCAAATGACCTGAAGTCGCAGAGGAGCCACTCCACGCATTTCGTGCAAGCTAACAGTTCTAGGACAAAAGTAAGGAACCCTGTACTGGTATGCTTTGCCCCCAAAAGCAAACCTGAGGAACTTCCTGTGGTTTTGAAGGATTGATATGTGGAAGTATACATCTTTGAGGTCTATCATGACAAACCTGTCCTCAGACCTGATTTGAAACACAATTTGCTTTAAAGTTAACATTTTGAACTTTAGCTTTTGGCCGCACTATATACATGGTGCAAATAAATCGGATGCAACCCCCCATTCTTTTTTTTTGGAACAATGGAATACATGAGTTCATTCTATGGCCCCCTTTCCAAGAAAGTTTTCAAATCTTGTTCCATAATCTGAGCCTGCTCTGGATCAACTGTAGTGGGCAGAACCCTGTTAAAGTGAGGAGGACAAGATCCAAACTGAATTCTGTACCCTTTCTTTAATGTGAGCACAGCATATTGTGACATATTTGGCAGAAGTTTCCATGCTGACAGATGGTCTACTAAGGGAACCAGTCTCTCAAAGGCTGGTCTCTGGTGTATTTTGAGTAGTCAGTTGAAGCAGATACCCGGTAGGAAACAGCTGAACCACTCTAATAATTTTAAGAGGTTGCGAGTCTCCTAGTGCCGTTACGTTCCCAGACGGACACTGGGACATTGACTCATTGGGTTGGCAGAACGGCCCACTTGAGGACACTGAAGAGAAGTGGGCACTGTAAGATGAGGTGTGAACCATTTCTCCTTGAATGGGCCTGCCCTCAGAGGTCTGACACTGGCATCAGAACCTCTTAGCTGAAGCCTTCCTGGCAATGATGACATTCCACAGATCCATCTTATCTTTACCAGGTTGTGGCAACAAACGCTTAGCCTGACCCCATTCTTTTGCGGCAGGGCACGAGAAACAACACTTTCTGTTTTTGTTGCGCCCTGTGGGTGGCAAACAATTTTACATTACTGAATAAGAGACAAACATGATCAATTGTCTTTAACAATTATTTATTCCCTTGCAATGAAAGGTCAGCAGTCATACAATCTTTACAAAGTGACAACGAATGGGGGCATCCTTCCTTCTTTATAGTTGTTCCTCCCCCAAGGTTGTTTCTCGAGGCTAAGTGAAGATATGTCTTAGCCATAACCAACACATTGTTTAGTTTGTCTAACATATTTAGTCATATTATACCCTTCAATGGAGACCTTCTGTCTCGGTCATACACTTAGTCACACATTAACTTTTGTCAGGTCATATACAAGGACATACACATTAATCTAATTACCATCATATTTCTAAGATTCTATAAATATACTTAAATGCCAACATAAAGAACATTACATTTCTTCCACACTCCCCTCTTTTTATCATTCATTGATAAACAAAATAATAATAATAAAGCAAATTTAAGTTATTACATCACACTTATACCCTTCATCTCTGATTTTTGTACAAATGATCACTCTTCTTAAACTTGTGAAATAAGTTTTTAAAAGGAGAAAGCTCAGGCTGTTTTTGTGGGGATAGTCCCTTAAGTATTTAGCAAGCAAGTAAAAACTTTATCTGAAGCCGGGCTAAATAAATAAACACTGTTATTGCACTCCTGACATAAAATCAGACCCTCAGTCACCTCAGTATAAACAAGAAATAGTATAGATTTTAATAGAAGGAAAAAACATATCTTAATTAAATTAATACATTTTACTGTAACTTCCGCTGGTTGTGACATCATCAAATTTCGTTTGTTTTGGACATACATCATTAAATTGATCCTCATCATTAGACATTTGAAGCAGTTGCTATGAGATTGTGTTTGTCACCAGTCTCGTTACCAAAGCTGAAAAACATTGCATTACACATGGTAGGCACATCAACATCAGAAATCCCATTATTATTACTGGCAGTATTGTATGACATAACCAATAGCCCCACCCTCCCCAGAGGTTGAAGAGGTCCCCGTAAGAAAATTTTGTGCTTTTTAATGTTAAATTCATCAATCTAATGCACTTTGAGAGTTAAAAATAAAGAGCTCCAACCCATATTCAGTGTGCAAATTGAACAAAGAAAAACTCAAAACTCTTTTAGTTGTGATATAGTGTCTGTCTACATTACACTACTTCATAATAATAGTTATAATATTAATCCGATGGCAGTAATAGCCATATATTGTAAAACAAATGCACTGAAAAATAAAAGCAACTTTCATAATTAGTTTCGTACTAATTTCTATACAGAGATAAGCACATGATCTTTTATTTTGACGGAAACGGCATCGAGCTTTTATTTTGAAGAAAAATATGGTTTACAAACTCATTACTCATTATTGTCTCATTACAATTCTAATAAAATGCGTAATCGTCAAATATGCAGGTGTGTAAATAATGCGTAACTGGGTGGTGGGTTCCTACATAGCCTAATGGTGTGTTCACACCGAACGCGAATTTAATTATTTGGGCGAGTAGATTACATACAAAGTCAATGCAAAGACGCGAATAGACGCATCATTCGCGCCGGGCGTTGCGAATGACGCAAATTGGGCGACGCGTTTGCCGCAAATGTCTTCCGCGCAAGTTGAAAAATTTGAACTCGAGCGAATGTTCAAGCGTCTAACTAAACGCGATAGACGCGTATTTGACGCTCTATTCGCGTTCGGTGTGAACACACCATAAGTGTTGTGACAGTAGCCTAGTTCTGCTTACCACAGTTCTCTGCACTCACTCATCTCTCTCCTTATCCTTCTCACTATCCTCATCAGACACTTGAAGGGCCTTTGAAGTTTCTTTTTTCACGCTATTTCTCTGCACATTCCTTGCGTTTCTTCTCCATTGCTCTGACTATTTTGACAGATACACACTGACACTGCTCGCTCACTCAGAGCTCAAAGGGGCAGGAGTTTAAAGATGTGATTGGACCAGCCCAGTGTCAATCAAGAAAATAACCAATGGGCTGCTGATTTATGCGTTTCATCATGCGCCGGTCTGTGAGAAAAAGAAAAACCTACGCTGACTTTTTTGTCCAATGCATTACACCGGCACAAAGATCCCAGAGCCGCCAATTAAACAAAACTAAACGCAATGGGCCGCCGATATACGAGTTTTATGGGCCGTTCAAAAAAGAAAAAAAGAAAAAAAGAAGTATGAGATGTATCGGCCCACAAAGCACGTCGGCCCACCGGGCAAATGCCCGGTATGCCCGATGGCCAGTCCAGCCCTGTCGATAAGGGAAGCTTTTTAGCCTCCTGGAACCTCTCGACGACTGAATTAACGGAGTCCCCAAAGTGGCCAACAGGAGAAAGTGGGGGATCCAACAGGAAGGACTTGTCTCTTTCGTTGATGTTAGATAGATAGAGCCACAAATGTCTTTCTGAGGCTTCCAGGGCTGCCATATACGGCCGATAGCTCTGGCCATATCCTTGGTAGCCCGCAGAGATCAGTGGCTCGATGCAGTTCTTGAACTCTGAATTACAGGAAACGTTTGTCCACTGATTTCACACGTGCTTAAAGACGCAATCACGCAGAGGTCTTCCCATAGTGTCGTAACTTATGATTCAGCGCAAGTTCCCTTGAAAGGGAACAGACAATTTGCAGTGTTGCATAGGAAGAGTGTCAATATGTTTGTATTTAATTGTATATATAATTTTGAGTACTAATAACTAAAAAAATTCTACTTTCTTACTTCTAGTTTTGCCTAAGTTTGAAGTTACTGTAAAAAGTCCAAATAAAGTAAGTGTTGAAGAAGAGGATCTGATAATTGAGGTTTGCGGAAAGTGAGTGGTTTCTTTTTATTTCCTGCATTAAAAGAGCAGTGTGTTCTTCCACTCACACTTTGATTTAATTTTTAATTGTTTTATTATTTTTGTAACTCTTGGGTCAGTTTCTTACTGTAACCACCATCCTACTATATTAGTTGCTTAACTCAACACTGGGCTGTAGATCAGTTGCTTGTACCTTTTTACAGATACACTTACGGACAGCCTGTACCTGGTAAATCATGGGTGAAAGTGTGCCCTAATTTTAGGCCCTACATTTCTCCAATCTCTCCCGACATGTCATTTTGTGTAAAGGAAACCATTGAGGTATGTGAGTTGAAACACAGTACATTATCTTTCCCCCATTTATCTAATTAAACCAATCTTCAGTTAATAGTTATGTTTGTGTTCATTCATTATTATAAGATCAATAAGACAGGCTGTGCCATCCATACCTTAAATGCATCAGCAATTTGTGACAACAAACTACCTTTTACATCTCTTCGTGTTGATGCAATGGTTACAGAAGAAGGAACAGGTGAGCTGTTCAATTTGGTCAGATCTCTGTTACATACATTTATTGAATTTCAAATTGTTGATATTTTACTTTTATATGAATAAATATTTATGTAGCTGCTTTTACTATTTACAGAGATCACCATGACAAAATATAAATATGTATCTCTCACTTATGAAATTGGTAAAGTCACATTTACTGACCTCCCCAAAACATATGAACATGGATCAGTTATTGAAGGAAAAGTAAGTCTAAAATCTGTTTGTCTCAGTTTAACACCATTGATAAGTACGGAATTATTTCTTAATTTATTCCTTCAAAATCTTCTTTTCAACAGATAAAACTCTCAAATTTCAAAGGTGCACCAATTCAAAACAAAACGGTTTATCTTATGGAGGGCAACGCTTGGTCTTCAAAACTGCTCCTAGATCTCACTACAGACAGCGATGGACTGGCCAACTTCTCTCTTAATACATCCAGTCATTCTAAAAGGGATATTAATCTAATAGTAAGAGAGATTGTGCTCACTTAGTTTTCTTTTGTATTGCATGAAGAGTTTAGTTACATGAGTTATTTGTGATTCTTTGTTATCCAGGCAAGTGTCTATCAAGAGGTCACAGATTCTGACCACCACAAGCGACACACGCCTCACATCGTTGCCGATAAAAAAACAGTCCAGCTCTTCCGGCCTCCACACACCCCAACACAAAGTGAATTGATTATAGAGAATACTGAGCAACCATTAAAGTGTGACTCTGAGTTTACTGCCACCATCAAATATTATTTTGTTGGAGAAAAAATTAAAAAATTAAAAACTGACATCGTCTATGTGGTGAGAACATGTGCAGTATGTACATTATCACAGAGATGTTTTTGTTTAACAGTATTATTTGTCTGCATGAGTCAGTTTGTTATCACAGTGTCATCTGTCTGTTTCAGGTCTTGTCCAGAGGAGTGATTGTTCATCATGGATATGAGAAGGTTGAAGTGAAGATTTCTGATGGAGCAAAGGGCTCAGTGTCGTTCAAACTCTCTATTAGTGCAGATCTGGCTCCTGTAATGCAGATTGTGGCGTACTGTGTTTTTCTGCCCAGTGAAATGGTTGTTGCTACTAGCAAAAATTTCAACATTGAAAAGTGTTTCAAAAACAAGGTATGCATTGTAACTTTAGAAATGAGCCTCTTTAAACTGTATTACTGACTCAATACTAAAGTAAACCCTATTCCCTGTATGCCACAGGTATCTGTGCAGTTTTCTCCTGGTAAAGCAGTTCCTGGTGAGAAAAACACTCTCCAGCTCTCAGCTCAGCCTGGTTCACTGTGTGGCATCGGTGCTGTAGACCAGAGTGTCCTGATCCTGAAGTCTGGACAACGTCTGGATGCTGACAAGGTGTAGATGCTTAAAGATTCAGTGTTGATTAATGCGTCTTCATAGTGGGAATCTACAGTGGGAATCTAATGATAACAGACTTTACTTTTTGCTGCTAACATAAGCTGACATCTCGATCTCAGGAGATTTAACATTAATCTTCATTCTTTCTCACCAAATTGGAAATAAAGTTTTGTTGGAAATACATGTATTATTTAGATATCATACTGATATAGTCTGTGAACATGGTCCCGTCACAGATCTTCAACCTGCTGCCAGTGCAATCGTGGTCAGATTACCCTGAGACTGTTGAAGATGAGCAGTGTCCCTTTATCCGTTTCCGGACAGACACATTCACTTATGAATCCTTAAAGGTAACAGTTGGATTATATGTGTGGCAGTGCAGTAGATAATGATTAACATAAAAAGCCTTCTTGATTATTCTGACATTTAAAAGTAATTTGTATTTTCATGACTTTTATTGTGGTTCATCATTGTCATTTGACAGAGAGTGGGATTGAAGATGGCAACAAATTTGATTGTGAAAGTCCCCAGGTGTCTGATGGGTAGATATGTACTGTTATTACAATACAAGCTGTAATGTTTTAATATGCTGGTGCTTGTTATGAAATATATTTTAATATATATATATATATATATATGTTCAATTTGTGAAATTGTGAAACTCGCACAATTCCACAATTGTTTTCCACAATTTTTTTTATTAATCTTTGAATCTGTGTTAATATTGGTAAGAAAAACGCATCTATAAAACTTAACTACATAACTTTTGTTAAATAAAATGAACACATTAACTTTTGCAGTGCTAAAATACTAAAACTAAAATTAAAACGAAATAAACTGAAAATGTGTAAAACATGTGTATTAAAAAAAATTGCCTTCCATTTTCTATTTACTAGAACTTATCATTTTGACGTGTTCACATACACATCACTTAAAACTGCAAATATCACTTTTTTTCCAATAGTTTCTTTCCTAATGCCAGATTCGCACCCGAGGTATAAAGAAGAGGATTTATTTCATTCAGCAGTGACGATTCGTACTGTCTTCCCAGAAACGTGGATCTGGGAACTTGCTGAAGTGGGGTATTTGAAGCATAATACATTTAACATCATATTTATCTTATTACTTATATTTAATCATCTCCTCCCCTCTCGGCCACAGGACAGAAAATACCTCGCTTGCTTTGCAGATTCTTAATCCAGTTTTTTCATCATCTGTGTGCTGAATGTTGTTATTTGTTACAGGGAAAATGGCTGAGTCAGAATCAAATATGTCTATTGTTGTAATTCCTCCACAGGGACTCTGGGTCAGCGCAGGTTCCTGTCACGGTTCCTGACACCATCACCTCTTGGGAGACCGAGGTCTTCTGCCTGTCCTCTGAAGGTCTGGGTCTGGCTCCTCCTGCTCAGCTGACCGTTTTCCAGCCCTTCTTCCTAGAGCTCTCTCTGCCTTACTCCATCATCCGCGGGGAGATCTTTGAGCTGAAGGCCACTGTCTTCAACTATCTGTCCAAGTGCATCATGGTGAGATTTCAGACGCAGTCTAATCAAATCATATCATATATGCCACTAATCATGTGTGTTTGATTGACAGGTTAGAGTGACTCCAGCTCCTTCCTCAGACTACACTCTCGAAGCCTCCTCTGATGATCAGTACTCATCCTGTCTATGTGCTAATGGAAGAAAAACCTTTAAATGGACCCTAACTCCCTCTGTTCTTGGTGAGTTTTCCAGTCTGAATCAGTAGCCGCGTTTCCATTACAGATTTGCACAATACTTTTCAGATCTTTTTTTTAAATGTGGATAAACAATTGCGAAATTATGCCTTTTCTGTTAACCGATGTAATGCGACTAAAACGTTATTTTCCCTCTCCCGATAAGTCATTCCAAAAATCATTGCAAGGATGTTGGTAGTTTTAAATACATTTACATATTTACGTATAGCAGCCACCACACTAGCCATTATTTTTGTGTTATCCAAGCATTATTGGCAAGGAAAGCTCCTTATACTTGGGAGCGGCACATATGAGGTGTTTCTGGGAGGGTAAACATGCAATTTGCACGAATTAAAATTGCGAATTGAAAATACACACAATGGAAAGATGTCAATTTCTTTCTTTTTTTTAACGCACGCATAAGGTGGATATAAATAAACCTACAACATTCGTCGCCATCAATTTTTATTAATCGCGAGAGGAAAAAATTATGCTTTAGTCGCATAAAATCGGTTAATGGAAGCACCATCATTTCGCAATAGTTTTTTTATCGACATTTAGAAAATACCAACAAAAAAAAACTGTGGATTCAGACTTTCCAAATGAATAGTTAATGAAGAATAGTTAATGAATAGTTAAAGGGGTGGTTTACTGCTTTTTTTCTTTGCATGATTGTGTTTATGGGGTGCAATATAACATGTCTCTGTGTGCTTTTTTAAAAAAAAAAGCCTTATTTTCATAAATTTCATCTTTATTGTAAGCCGCTTTCTCCTCTGTCATTTGAACGACCGGTTGACTTCCTGATTGTATGAAACCACTCCCTCAGAAACAGGCAATGGGCTCATATTGGTTAGTTGGGCTGGGTGTGTTGTAATTGGCTAAACTGCGTAGTGCACGTTGTCCGGAAACTTCACGCCCATTACCTTTACGGGCGAAAGTTGCATGTGCTAAATTAAATTAGAGAGCTAAATTAAGATTGTAATTTTCAGGAACATAATCAAACATAAATTTTAGCCATTGTTGACGAACTACAGCGTCTGTAGGAAGCCCGAGCACAGAAGACCTGACAGCTGGGTGAAAATAACACACTTTCGACGGCATGGCTACAGCTCTCCACCATAACTCTTCCTCTTCAACAAAGCCGCAGAAATATGCCCTTTTTTGAATATTCCGGAGGGAGGGTTGATGTAAATGTATGGGTTAGTTACGTACAAAACCCGGGAAGTATTTCGTTGTAGTCCCAATCGAGTCGTTTTTGTAGGCATTAAACTTCCTGATTATTTAAAAGACGATATCTCTGCTTACGTTGAACTTTCAGCGCAGAAACTTTGCAGATAACTGATTCCATAGCAGTTTTGTGAAATATTCCTTTTTCGAATTGCCTGAAACACAACCTAATGCGAGCGTAATAACATTTTTAGCAATAAATGGGAGTTTTTTCAAAATGGACGTGTTTCTATTGGGAGTATTTTAAATTTACAACTTCAATTTGCGCAATTTGAAGGGTAATGGAAACGCGGCTGTTTCTGCATCTGTTGTATGTTCACGTATATATGTCTTGTGTTGTAGGAGTCTTAAACATTACAGTCAGTGCAGAGGCAGAGGCGTCCCAGACTGTGTGTGACAATGAGATTGTGAGCGTCCCGGAGAGAGGACGCATTGACACGGTCACACGAAGTCTACTCGTACAGGTCAGCACGTCATCATTTACTCGTGATCTTAATGCTGCTTATGTATGATGTGTTGATGTGATTGATTTATGCTGCAGGCGGAAGGAACTGAAAAGACAGAGACTCACAGCTGGTTCCTGTGTCCAAAGGGTAAGTCTGCAAATATTTCATATGTTTTGGTGTACAAGCGCTGCTGGATCCCTCTTTATTTTCTAAACACTAACTCCAGCTTCATGAAAATAAGTACACGTTGCATAGAGGATATTTTGAGGACCAATAGAAGGAGCTAAAGTATACAGTAACCAAAATATACCCATGTGTATTGGACATTTGAATTGAGAAAGATGACATTTGTCAGCCTTTCATGACAACTGTAGTTTAGTTGTTCAGCTGTGCCAAATTTTAAAATTGTGGCTATTTTATCCCTTTTTCCAAAGTGCTTGAATCACAATAATTCCTGTTTGTGATTATATTATTATCTGACTTCACAGATGGAATTAAAATGTTAATTGTATAGTGTTACTCTGCTGATCACTGGTGTGTGTTTCTGTCTGTCTGGTTCATAGGTGACAGTCTCTCAGAGGAAGTGGCTCTGACTCTTCCTAAAGATGTGATCGAGGGATCAGCCAGATCCTCTGTTTCAGTCATTGGTAACATTTACAAACACGAGTAGAAATGAGGAGATTGGCTTTAGACTTATACAATTTAGTGAGTGTCATTTGTGTATGGTTTATAGGAGACATATTGGGTTGTGCACTGAGGAACCTTCATGGATTATTACGGATGCCGTACGGCTGTGGAGAGCAAAACATGGCTGTACTTTCTCCCAATATTTACATTCTGGAGTATCTGGAGAACACGGATCAGCTCACCTCGGCCATCCGAGAGAGAGCCACGGGCTTCCTGAAGAGCGGTGAGAGACTAAATCATGTCAAGAAAATACTGAGGTGGTTTGATACCAAATTATACATTATTCAACACACCTGAATGTCACATTAGCCGTTACTCCACTGTCGGACGAGTGTGAGCCAGGGCTTTAAACAGGCCGGGCTGGGCTAACAGTGTCGGACCTGTAACACCGAGCTCAAAACACACTGCGTTTCCACTGTAGGGCCAGAAGCTCTGCAGCGCTTCACTAAAACCTGACCGTAATACGCCTCTCAACGTCACACAGACCCATCAAGCAAATGGAAGTTTTATCAGAAAATTAATCATAAAGAAATCACTGGAAACTAGCAATATCGCAGAACGAACATGATAAAAGCGGCCGTTTGTTGGAATTTGTTGTTTACTGAAAGATTTAAAACCCAAGCATCAATGTTTTACCACAGGTTTACAATAATAAGGGATACATTGACCATAATACATTTAAATGTCAAGATTGCACATTAGTCACACTGCAATAAAGTGGTATATACCATTATTCCACAAAACACACCTGAATGTCACATTGAGTCAACCCAAACAAACTGTTGAAGTGTTAACCATTATCACACTAAACAGGATACCAGAGGCAAATGAACTACAAGCATGTGGATGGGTCATACAGCACATTTGGTAATGGTGAAGGGAATACATGGTAAATATGTTTTCACTATTACTTTTGTTTAACAGAAATAATATCCAGGTAATCAACAATAATAAGCCCAAGAGGATAGTACCAAAAAAAAAAAAACATTGAAAAATGTGTCTCAGTTTAAATGATTTGCTTTGAGATTTATGATGGATGGAACTCATTGAAACACCAGATGACATTTTTTTAATTATATCTTCCACACCATCAGGTTGACTGCCTTTGTGCTGAGGTCCTTTGGCAAAGCACAGAAATACATATTTATTGATCCAAAAATTATTCAGAGTGCAAAGATGTGGTTAATAAGCAGACGGGATTCAGACGGCTGTTTTATCCAACAGGGAACCCTGTTCAACAACAGAATGAAGGTCTGTCATCTTCTATCTATCGTCTTTATTCAGAAGTTCTCAAGCCAACATCACAGTTTGTCTAGATGAACTTTCCTTCAGTGGTTTGAGTGTGTTGCTTTATTTATCCTTTATTTCTTACATATTCCAGGGTGGGGTGAATGATAATGTGACCATGACGGCCTACATTACTGCATCATTGCTTGAACTGAAAAATCCAGTCACAGTAAGTTCATCTATACTATAGGAAACTCATAGAAAAATGACACACACAAAAGTCTGTTCCTCTGTTGTTGTTTTTTGTCACAGGATCTTGTCGTCAGTAAAGGTTTGTCATGCTTGAGGTCCGTCATTGAGGATGTCAAAAACACATACGCCACTGCCCTGCTCGCCTACACTTTCAGTCTGGCTCGAGACACGGACACTCGACAGCAGCTTTTCAAGAAACTGGAGGATGTTGCTATTTCAGATGGTAAGAGGTTTGTTTCTGATGACTTTCTGTTGTCTTTTATGACTGTACTTTTGTTTTTGGTAACACTTTAGAATACTTTCCCATCGTTAATGAATAACTACACAGAAACAAATGAGTTACACACTATTAACATTCTTTCAACTACTCTTAACTAACAAGAAACCCTGATTAACAAATTGGTAGTTCACTATTAGCTAATCGGTAACTACTATTTTTTTCATACCTCCCAAAGAACTACTACTAACTACTATATAAAGGTTCATAATTAACATGAATATTGCACACTTTATAATATAAGGTAACAGTAACTCACTAGTAATGACTCAAGCATTACTACATCCTTCTAAAGGAACTACTAATAATTTGGATCGATATTCTAAAGTGAAACGCATGATAACTCTCTAGTAATTATGAAGTCATTGTAAGCTTTTGAGATTTTTGTATGATTTTGAATAGCTAATTCCTTCCAATGGATTTGGTAACACTTTAGTCATTACTAGTGGATTTATACATTATGCATTATTAGCATTACTTATGAACCTGCATACAGTAGTTCTCTGTAGTCCTCTGTGAGTTACAAAAAAGTAGTAGTTACTGATTATTAGCTAATAGTGAACTACCACATTCAACTATTTCTTACTAATTTATTAATCAGAGTTTCTTGTTAGTTAAGTAAGAGATAATGTACATCCAGCCGGTTGTTATCTCAGAATAAACCCGACGGGGGGATCAGGAGGGTCTTGCGTGAGCCTGAAGGGGGTTTATTCTGAGATAACAACCGGCTGGATGTATCCCGCTTATTACACGGCTACTTGCCGCATAAGTAAATAATTCGACACAAAATATGAATCTAATTCGAAATATTTTACTAGCTCTTTAAACGCAAAGCCTCCGCGCTGAGAGCTATTGCAGCACGACAAGTTCAAACTAGACAGACATTTAAGAGATACGGTATACAGTCATACCACTTATTACACAGCATTTCACCACATAATTATGGGGATAAGAGATATTGATTTGAGATGAAACTGTTTTAAAATTGTACTTGGCGAGTACACAATACTGGATGGCATAATTAAATAAAAAATATTGATTCCATTGAGTTTTAATATTTTATTAGCTCACCAAAAGCACAACTTCCATGAAGAAAACCCGTTCCTAGCAAGCGTATATCACTGCTGATTTCAGGAACCCGAATGAGCCTCTGCTAATAACATACCTCTGGATGGTGCTATTGACCAATCAAAATCAAGTATTTCACAGAGCCGTGTAACAATAGTTGTTGCTAGAATGTTAATAGTGTGTAACTCATTTGTTTCGGTGTAGTTATTCATTAATGATGGAACAGTATTCTAAAGTGTTAACTTGTGTTTTCTTATCATGCTCCTTGAGTTATGCGTGTGTCTTCTGTCCTTCAGGCTCTTCTCTCCACTGGTCTCAGTCTGGCTCTGCTGATGACTCTGATTCTCTGGCAGTGGAGATCAGCTCATATGTGCTGCTGGCTGTTCTCACTGCAGATTCAGTCACTACAGCTGATCTGGGCCGTGCTAACAGGATTGTCAGCTGGCTTGTCAAACAGCAGAATGCTAATGGAGGATTCTCCTCCACACAGGTTACTCAAACCTCTCCAATCAAACACATTATTGCTGGCGTGAATGAGTAAAAGTGGCATTACTGAACACATGTATTTCCCAGGACACAGTGGTGGCTCTTCAGGCTCTGTCTTTGTACGCCACCAAAGTGTTCAGCTCTGGCGGCTCCAGCACAGTGACGGTACGGTTAGCAGGAGACACTCACCTCTTTAATGTCAATCAGGACAACAAGTTACTGTACCAGGAGAAGCAGCTGCAGAAACTTCCAGCCCAATACAGCATTGAAGTGAAGGGCTCAACCTGTGTGTCTGTGCAGGTCTGTAGTGCGTTCAGCCTCATTTACTCACACACACTTTCTCTCTTGGCATGTTAAGCCCTGACAGCAACATAGTGTCGGCCTAGATCCGGGCCAAATCTGGTACATGTGGATTCATCGCGTGACAGATCTGGGCCGACTTTATGTTGCTGTCAGGATGGTTATTATGATGTATGAATGTGTTTTTATATGTGTTGACTCTCTCAGATGTCTCAGTTCTACAACATTCCCACTCCTACTGAAGCAAAAACATTGAGCATTGATGCCAAGATTGAGGGAGATTGCAAAACATTGGGACAAAATTTCATTTTGTACTTCACTGTCAAGTAAGAGAATTGTATTTAATGTCCCCCTGTAGTCAATCATTGTATCCCTTTAAACTCATCTTTGATCAGCAAAATTACATTTAAACGTGTTTTCCTTCATGCCTTAAAACAGCTTGAATGCAACTCTACACCCTTGCCTATTTAGTATGCGTGGTTTCATGAATATGCAAATGAGCCCCGCCTCCACTCACTCACTCAGCTCAGAGATCCACTGGTTGACGATCACACGTTGATCTGATTGGTTACAAGGTCGTTTGTGACCTCAGAAACACCAGCGATTTCAAACCGTGTTTTTGAGACTGTCTTTGGTTCACTGCAGTTTTGAGGAGAAAATACTCAGCAATGCTGTCGACTTATGAGTTTACACATGGTTTGTCTTAAAGCATATTAAAAACACCACATAGATGTATAAACAATATTAAAAACTTGATTTTCACCACAGAGGGACTAGAATATGATGACTTAAGAATAACTAACAAATAAATCTTTATTGAATATTTTTTAACATCTTAATAAACACAAAAGCAATATAAACTGAAATGACACAACATTTTTATTATTGACACATTATGATTTGAGTGATAAAACTCTGCATGTGTCTTGTTAATTACACTGGCTTTTGTTATCTCGTATTTGTACATTTATATGAGGCATTTAAGAACCTTTTCATTTGCTCTTGTCCAGATATGATGGTCTACAGGAAAGGACTAACATGGTCATTGTGGATATTAAACTCTTATCTGGATTCACAGCTGATACATCAATGGTGCGTTTGAGTGATTCATCACAAAATGTGTACAAATTTCTCGAGTTCCTCTTTTTAGAAATTAACCAGCACTTTTTCCCCACAGCTTAAAACTTCTTCCGGAACGTACAGAAACCTTGTGGAACGGGTCGATTCTAAAGATGATCATGTCATTGTATATTTGAAGGAGGTGAGAAAACAGCAACACTCATATGATTTTATGTCTTAAGTCGATTCATAAACATTTTATCCATAATGTATGTCCATGACTGATGAGTTTGTTTCCTCCTGCAGATCCCACAAAATATTCCAGTGAATTACCAGATACAAATGAAACAGGTTCTTCAAGTGAAGAATCTCAAGCCAGCTCTGATTAAAGTGTACGATTACTACCAAACAAGTAAGATTTAATATGCCAGTGTAAATGCTTTGACCAAATGATGCACAATGTTTATTCAGATTTAATCCATGTACAGGTTTCCATTGTTGTACGAATGTGAACATCTTCCTTTTCCTTCAGGTGATCAGTCAGAGGCCGAGTACTTCTTCCACTGTGAATGAAGCTGAAGTGCGTCACCTTATAGTTCAGCTTGGAAAAAGATGGTTGAACTCTCTAATGTTTAATATTATAATGTTTATTCTTTATCTTGGACAAAATCATTTCCAATCCATCAGCCCAAATTTAAACAAATCCCCAAATCCTAATCAGTTTTTGGCTACGTCTCTTGAGATCATGACTTATCAATTCACAATGCATATGATTAATAAAAGTGGTGAAAGCAAGTTATGGTGAGCTGGTTGAACTGCTGAATGTGTAGTAGCTGCATGCTATGGCAACATTTTTGAATCAGACAAGATTATTAAGATGATATCTTGGGTTTTAAGGTTTTTTAAATCTTACCTCAGCTCTCATTTTTTAATCTTGTTTTGAGACACTGTACCCTTAAAAATAAAGGTGCCAGAAAGAACCAAAGGGTTTCCACAATGTTAAATATAATAGTATAATATAATTATAATAATTATATATGATAGTATAATGGTAAATAACAGTTCTTCATGACACTTATAAGGTTCTTTATAAACCCATAGTAAACAAACACAAAGAAAATCCAGAAATAAGACTGATTTAAATGTTTATTGCCTTTATACATTGTGCCAGATGAAAGCATATGAACACATACAGTAAAGGCCATTGCACACGAGGCCGAAATTTGCGTATGCGTTTTTTCGTATTCGTGATTCGGTGGCTCTGAATTGTCAAAACACCATTCATTGCTTGCTACGGATGCGAAAAACGCAGAAAATCGAACCCAATTTGATTTTTTTTTATAACGGAAGAAAGTTTCGGAGGCAGTGTGCAAGCGTGATTGACATCGGACGCGAATTTCGGACTCAGTGTGCAATGGCCTTTAAGGCATTATACAGGGCATTTTATAAATCAGGCAAATTGCACAATTTTAAAATGTGAAAACTGATGACTACAATAAACAGTCCACTCCAAATGAAAACAGTAGTATTAAGAGTTGTCGACTGACAAAGCTCGTCACACATTTACTTGAATGTATTTGACATTAAAATGAAAGTTGATCACTCGCAACATTTTTTCATATGAGTGTGAAGGCTTGATAAATGTTTGAAACTCTTCTCACACTGAGTACAGTCGTACGGCTTCTCTCCAGTATGAACTCGCCCATGTATTTTTAGAGATCCAGACCGAGTGAATCTCTTGTCACAAACTGAGCACATGTAAGATCTTTCTCCAGTATGAATCCTTTGGTGCAGTTTTAGTTGAGTAGATTTAGTAAAGCTCTTCCCACAGTCACAACACACATGATCTCTCACTTCATTATGTGTTTTCTGGTGCAGTTTAAAACTGTCCAGCCTTGAATAACTCTTTCCACAGAGAGAACACAAATGAGGCTTAACACCTGTATGAACTATCAGGTGCTTTTTGAGATAAGACGATGAAATAAACTTTTTACCACACTGATCACAGTTAAATGGCTTTTCGCCAGAGTGACCATGTTGATGAATCCTGAGAGCTTTAGTACATCTGAAACTCTCTCCACACTGAGTACAGTGGTACGGCTTCTCTCCAGTGTGAATTCTTTGGTGCCGTTTCAGTTCGCCAGTTGTAACAAAGCTCTTCCCACAGTCCGAACACACATGATCTCTCACTTCATTATGTGTTTTCTGGTGCAGTTTAAAACAGTCCAGTCGTGAAAAACTCTTTCCACAGAGAGAACACACATAAGGCTTCTCATCTGAATGAACTTTCAGGTGTGTTTTTAGATTTGATGATGAAATAAATTCTTTACCACACTGATCACAGTTATATGGCTTCTCTCCAGAGTGAATATGCAGATGATAAATGAGACCTGATTCACCAGTAAAACTCTTTCCACACTGAGTGCATGTATACGGTTTCTCTCCAGTGTGAATTCTCATGTGTCTGTTAAGGATTCCTTCATTTTGGAAACTCTTTCCACACTGAGAGCAGGAGTGCAGCTTTTTGGCTTTTGTTCCTTGAGATTTCAAGTCATGTTTCTCCTCCACTTCATTCAGTTTGTGTCTTTGCTCCGTCACTTCCATCTGTTCTAAAATAAACATATTTAGTAGTGAGAATCAGTTCAAGGAGGATAAATATGAAAATTCAAGTGAACACTTACACTTTAAAAAATTTCAATAAATAGCTTACGGTCTTCACTTAAAATTAAACATTTATATTCACCGAACATGAAATTGTACACAGTCAATCTATCAAGCCGAAGTGAAAAATCTGTGTTGTTTGCACAATTCCAAAAGTAAAAAAACTGTAAGCATTCAAAATGTGCCTGAAAACCCATTGAATTTAAATGCGGGAGAGCGAGCGGAGCCGAACCAGAAGACCGAAACAAACATCACTCCCAACACAATTTTCATCGTCACAAGTTTCAAGACGCTAGAGTATTGAGCACTGAAATTATTCTCAAGTTTTGCTTTAGGACCTAGTATAAAGTTTAAAAGACATTTTGTAGAATGGCGAGTTCATGCATTCATTAGGGGCTTTCGCACCGCGTAGGTCTAGGACAGGGGTCGGCAACCCAAAATGTTGAAAGAGCCATATTGGACCAAAAAAAATAAAAAATTCTGTCTGGAGCCGCAAAAAAAAAAAAACTTTATATAAGCCTTATAATGAAGGCAACACATGCTGTAGGTGTTATATTAGCCCTCTAGTATCAAAATGAAAAGTAGGCTACAAATTAGAGCTTAGATCGGGCCCAAAAAAATCAAGCCCGGCCCGACACATTAAACGTAATTATGAGCCCGAGCCCGATTTTAACCCGACCATTTTTTAATGCGTGGGTCGTTATAACTGACGTTCTCAACTTTCTTTCTCCTGCCCGCAACATTTATGTTTTGTCCCGTTCCCGCCCGCAAATAGACTTTTTTCTGTACCTCCAAATACTTTCAAGTTAGCCTACGTGTCGCCACCATACATCCTCCTGATAAATTATTTGTTATTAAAGCATTAAAACACAAACCACTGTTAATTTAACATAAAAGCAAGCAGTTTACTATGCGTGCATGGTTTGGCATGACTGAATGCGCGCAAAGTGTGCTCTCTTAATAATTCCTAAAAAGCTGACAGTTCATCGCGATCTCACACATCTCTGTTATTATCAATGAAGCAGACTGCACAATGAATCTTTCATAATATCCACACGCTGTTCGTTATAATTAGAGGATTTGCCATCATACAGAATTCAGCATTGAACAAAAAAGTCGGTGAGGGGTGAGGGGAGTCTATCTTAAATGCTTCTGATTGGCCATTGCGTTCAAGAAATCAACACATATGTCTGTGATTGGCTATATCGCTCAACGCTGCAAACATGAAAAGAAATTCTGGCCTGTAAATCGTTTCTATTTTGTTTTAGTAGAGTGAGTGCATTACCGCACGCGCCCGCGCCCGCACTCGGCCATCAAATCTAGTCCCGCGCCGCACTCTATTGCGTTGGGAGTGCTCAGCTATCTTTCTCTTTTTCCCCTTGGGATCCATGGCCCATGACACACCCGCCGGTTTGTTTGTTTGTTTGTCAGCCACCGGTCTGGCATCACGCCGATCTGACAGACACGTGTGTCACAGTCTATGACGTAAATTCTTCGTTGACAGAAATGTTGAAATTAAATATTTATTATACACATTTTTACAACGTTGAAAAACTTTAAGAATGTTTGTCATGTTTTTCATCCTACAGAAATTATATTAAAACAAAAAATATTTTTTCCATTTTCAAATTTTTGAAAAAGCTCCAGGGAGCCACTAGGTTCCACCGCCCCAGTGTTTTAAACATCCAGGATACGCACACGAAAGGACCATTTTAAACAATAAACTGACACAAAGACATAAATATGTCATTCAACATACAATAAAATTTGAACAATCCTCGTTCTCCAGGCCTGTAAACAATGGGGCGGTACTTCAGCCTATGTCCAGCGTGACCTTTCCAACGTGATTACGTAATCCCTGGCGCGTCGCATACCAGCACAAGACGAACAACTGTGGTTAAAAAGTATATACTTTTTTTTTCTTTTTTTTAAATGACCGATCGTTTCGCTAGATAACACCCTATTCCTCAGCTGGGATCGTGCAGAGCCGTTTGAAGCACTTCACTGACCTTTGAAACTGTATTGATTTGGACTTCAACATGTTGGTAGCGCTTGAAGTCCATTGTGTGGAGAAAAATCTGAAATGTTTTCCTCAAAAAACTTAAAATTTTTTTCCACTGAAGAAAGAAAGACATCTTGGATGGCATTGGGGTGAGTAAATTATCAGGAAATTTTCATTTTGAGGTGAACTAATCCTTTAAAAAGAAGTGAAAATGATCAACTTTAGTTATGATGCAATGCTGGCCCCGATGATTCAGTCATGTCCCGAAACGCTGCAGGGCTGCCAACTCTCACGCATTGACCGTGAGACTCACGCAATTGACACTTTTCACACGCTCTCACGCCACACATCCATTTTCTCACGCACAGAAAAATCGTGAAACAGAGAGGACACGGAAACCGACAGACAGGACAGAGCAGGATACTTAAAAAATCTCAGCTCTCAGATTCTGTAAATTTTATTGCGAAATTCCAAAATACCGTTTTGGCGCTTGTAAATTGTGACGTGACAGATCCCTAGCGGCACGTGAACCGATCATCTCTACTAGCTAATAGTATATAAACACGAATTAACAATGTTGAAAGATACAGTACAACTTACCAAAATGTATATTCCTCATACATAATATCGATCAATCAATGTTTTTCAACTGCGGAAAAAGGTCAATAAAACAGCTGGAGAACAATTATGCCACATAACATTTACCTCAGGAAAGCCATTTAATGACCACATAGGCTATAGCATGTTAGTTGGCTAGAAAAAAGAGCTATAGAGTATTTTGCTAAATATGTGTACTTTATTACATATTTATAATATTTTTTTTACTAAATATCAATAAATAAAGTTGTTGTTTATAATAAAAAACGCATTATATTTAATTTGAGTTATTTTTAACCTTAAATAATACTACCAGCTGAGAGGGCTCTCTGTATGTCTACAGCATTAGGTGAGATTTTTTTTTCTTGAGAAAAATTAACGCCTATCTTGTGTACCTAATATTGATCCAAATGAGTCAATATTGAATCAAATCACAAGTATTTAATTGAATTGAAATCATGAAATTTGTGTCAAGCAATAATAAAAAAAACATAGCTTACCAGAAATTATATACCATGTAAACATTGTAGCATGTTGTCACTAAACCTATTACCTATTAATATTCTGTTTAGTTACTAAAATGTTTTGAGAATCACAATACACTTATTGTGATGCAAGATTTTTTTTTTTTTAAATCCCCCCAATCCACCCGCCTCCCCAATCCACGCATTATAAGTGGTAGACCTGCGGGAATTATTAAAATACTTATTGAGAGTATTATCTGTTATATTATTTATTTTAATGGTTAAAGTACAATAAATGTCTTAATTTTGATTTTTTTAAGAATTGTTGAAAGCTGTCTTTTTAATAATTGCAACATGTTCCCGAAGTCATGTGAAATAATCGTGTTACATAATCGTGATTTCAATACTGACCAAAATAATCATGATTATGATTTTTTTCCATAATCGAGCAGCCCTACATCCGAGTGAACGAGACGGAGGGAAGGGCATGACAATTTTAGACTGGAATCCCTAGAACTAAAATCGTTCCTAGTTCCTGCGGTGCGAACATGCCAAAATCCGGGTACTTCCGCCAGTAGTTCTAGGAACTATAAAAAGGCTCCTCCGGTGCGAAAGCCATTGGTTTCATGGTCTTGTTTTTCCATTTACCACATAAGTATCTGATGGTAGCCTAACTTCAATTTCCAGAATCAGAAAGAGCTTTATTCGCCAAGTGTGTGCAAACACACAAGGAATTTGTTCTACCTCATGTCATACATAAAATACAACATAGGCTACATCTAAAATACTGTTTGATCGACTTCTGAGATGTAATGTGTTTTATATGTGACCGTGGAACACAGTGCCTGTAGATAATGCCTTCTAATATCAAGTCAAGTGCTTTTATTATTCATCCATTCATTATTTTTATCGCTTGTGTCAGTAACTTTACGCAGAAGAAGCTGGATATTTATTTACATACCTCAAAATAAACTATAAAGCAAAATTCATATCGACTGACACAAGTCTCATTCTCATTGCATGATTAAATAACTTGTGATGCAGGGGAACTTCTGTCATTAATGTTAGTTTTTATTTTTATTTGCAAGTTTTTAACCTATGCGGTGAAGATTTGGAAAATTTTCTGAATATCGAGTTATGCAGAAGACTTTTTGAATATATTCAGTGTTTTCCCCTTATTTAAAATAAGGTATTTTCACAAAATATCCTGTGTTGGAATTGATTTGTCAATAAAGTAATGTGATAAAATGTTAACCCTGTTGTCAGTGTTCTGTATATTTGCTTAATATATATATATATATCTTTTTTTTGGGGGGGGGACAGTGAGAAATATAATTTTTACTACAATTTAAAATATTTAATTGGACCAGCAACAGGTTTGGTAAACTAAATTGTTCCATTGGCTCACCATAATTATTTCTTATTGAGCCCATGTGAACAGAATGTTGCCACAATTGATCACATTTAATAAATAGTTCAATTCGATTAAGCCAATTGAAAAATGTATTGTGAACATTTTAACAGTGTAGCAGAAAACAAGAGATCAGGTATGTGTGATTTTAAAGTATCAGATCTCTGATGTAGCAAAGTTTAGCTCTACAATTAAAATGTGTTTGACAACTTATGATTATGGTCATTTAGATGCATTTCTGTATCATTTTTATCAGTGATACAGATATCAGTTTCCAAAGCAATAAACAATGAAGAATCATGAATGGACACCAACCTGTTTGTTTCTCAGTATCTTCATGTTTTATTCTGGTTGAAACATCGTTCACATCCTGACTGGAAATAAACGGCATCCAGCGAAAACATTCTGCACTCGTCTTTCCATTCATGGTCGTTAATCAGTAATCAACAACGTTCAGCTTGAAAAAAATACTCTATTCTGCGCATGCTCACGAGGTCATGACTTCTTAAAGGGGCCGCACATTCTAAAGCAAATCACTGGTATCATGTAAATAACACGTTGTAATCGTAAAAATGGCTTTGCCAGTCTAGTCACCTTCACCCTGTTCAAATTTATGTTGTTTTTCTGCTAGACATGCTTGCACCTTTACCCTTTGCATCCTTAATATGGTGTCTTCTTTTGAATGTTAAGTCTATACATTTATATAAACGTACAGAACAGACGTAACACAAAGGAAGACACACCATAATGCTTGCTTACATTGAATCCATAAAAATAATGAGTATATCTACATCAATGTACAGTCAAAAATACGTACATTTTAAGTTTATTTAATACTTTTAATGTAGGCTAGTGTAAAATAGTGTAGAAGGCACAGTTTAAAACTTTTGATCAGTTTGAACTTTTTTTTATTTGTAAAGTCTTTTCAATTTACTGAAGCTGTTTTACTGGAATCTTTTACATCATGTAAATAAAGAAAGCAATCATTTTATTTTTCAGTTGGTTTATTGTTTAATATTTTACAGTTTCTATAATTTTCTAACTACATCCACCAAATCTGGCGAACTAAAGGTTTGGTACTTCATTGTTCAATAATACATAATAACTCCAACCTCTTTGTATGATACAAGACCTGATAATTCTGTCTGGGATTATTTTAATAATACCGTACATCTCAAACGTATTAACTACAGTATTGTGTAGTAAATAAGATGTGTTTGAAACTAAATTCATTTTCAATCAATCATAGCTCAACAAAGACAAGATGTATATCATATTATTTCTCATGTACAATCATGTACATTGACATTCTAGACACCACCCAGCCAAACAAAATATGCAAAAAAACATACAAATTACTTTACTTTTGCTGTAAGAGTTGTAAACTGTCGTGAACCTTCAACTCATGAGTCTTTAACGTTCTCAGAGCATTTCAACAAATTCACAAACTAAACTAAATTGTGTAAAGTTACAACGTATCATGATATTTTTGTATATGAATAAGAAGGCTTGATGAAGATGGAAAAGTCTCTCCACACTGAGTGCAGCGCTTCTCTCCAGTATGAAGCCGCTTATTATGCTCTTTCAGGGTTCCAGACTGAGCGAAACTCTTGTCACAGTATGAACACTTGTAAGGTTTTTCTCCAGTGTGAGTTCGCTCATGTACTTTCAGAGACCAAGAGTGACTGAAACTTCTGTCACAATGTGAGCACTTGCAAGGTTTTTCTCCAGTATGAATTCTTTGATGCAGTCTCAGACAAGAAGCTCTAGTAAAGCTCTTCCCACAGTCACCACACACATGATCTCTCACACCGGTGTGTATTATCTGGTGCTGTTTAAGAGAGTTTATCCATGTAAAACTCTTTCCACAAAAATAACACACATATTGCCTCTCATTTGAATGTTTTTTCATGTGTTCTTTTAAATTTGAAGATAAATTAAAACCTTTACCACAATGATCACAGCTAAATGGCTTTTCTCCAGTGTGAACACGCAGATGATTTTCGAGAACAATTTTACTTCTGAAACTCTTCTCACACTGAGTACATTTGTACGGCTTCTCTCCAGTATGAACTACCTCGTGTGATTTCAGTGATGCAGAATAAGTGAAACTCTTGTCACAAGATGAGCACGTGTAAGGTTTTTCTCCAGTATGAATTCTTCGGTGCTGTTTCAGATATTCAGTTCTAGTAAAGCTCTTCCCACAGTCACAACACACATGATCTTTCACTTTATTGTGTGATTTCTGGTGCTGTTTACAATGATCCAGCCGTGTAAAACTCTTTCCACAGACAGAACACACATAAGGCCTCTCACCTGAATGAAGTTTCAGGTGTTGTTTTAGATTTGATGATGAAATAAAATCTTTCCCACACTGATCACAGTTGAATGGTTTCTCTCCAGAGGGAAAACACAGATGTTTTTTGAGTCCAGATATATATGTGTAAAACTTTCCACACTGGGAGCAGGTGTGCAGCTTTTTGGGGGGTTTTTGTTGAGTTTTTAAGTTACCATGTTTTTCATCCACTTCATTCAGTTTGTGTTTTTGCTCCATCGTTTCCATCTGGTCTGAAATAAACATATTAATTCAGAATCAGTTCATGGAGAATAAATGTGAAAATTCATGTAGACCTGATTTATTAGCAGAAAGCAAAAGAGATCAGCATCTGCATAATGTAGCCTACCAGATATTTGTTGTGGCAAAGGATACCTCTGTCGTTTGCTTATTAATGCAATCAAAATGTTAATGACAATTACTATTATTCAAGGTTAAGATCATTCAGACATTATTTATCACCCCTACATTGTGCATTATTTTACAGCCACTAAATCAGTTTAAATTACTGCTAGGGATTTTTTTTTTAACCAAGCTTAAACAATGAAGAATTAAGAATGGCCACCAACCTATTTGTTCCTCAGTATCTTCATGTTTTATTCTGGATGGTTCTGGATAACTCATGTCTTCAATCTCCTCTTTAATAACCTCCATCTCCTCTTTAATAAACTCCATCTTTAACAGTCACACAGATTTCAGCTGCTACTCCTGGAGTTTGTCCTTCTCTTGTAGGATGATGGGAATATTCCCAGTATTTATTGGTGAATTGTTGTGCGAGTTGTGATCCCGTCGCCCACAGGACCAGATCTGGAAAATTTGAAGAACTTATTCATAGTAAATCGTGAATTTATAGAAAATACTTAAATTACATTGAAACATATCCATTACATGTTAGAATACAGGGTATTTTTGTATGGTTGTAACGTTTTACAATAAACCACCCTTACGAAAATTAACCATGGATTTATTATAGTAAAAGTGTACGTTAGTAACCAGCTAACCACAGTTTTTTTGCAGATTGAGTACCATTTGTACAGTTTTACAAAAATACCATGGTTAAACTATGGTTAGTGTAGCAAAACCATGGTTAATTTTCAAAAGGGCAGAGCACGTAATACGTTTCATTACGTAGTACTTACATCAATTCTGGAGCCGATTAATGCCAAACTCTACAGATTGGGAACATCTCTCACACCCAGACTGTAAATATTACGGCATCTAGCGTCAGTTTTAGCTTGAACTGGTCGGATTTACAGCACTCGTGTCTCGCGCTACATTCTTCTGCTCGTTTCGTTTGTGGTTTGTTGTTCCCTTAGATTTGTTAGGGTTGCCAGAACTCGCGAAATTGCTAATCAAAACCATCGGTAAAACCGCGGATTTGGCAACCTCCATTTTGTAAACCAAACCTGAAATCTCTTTAGCGCATTGCTGCTGCCATCTATTGGATATTCCTAGAAATTCACCCACACATGGGATATATAGACGTTAAATAAACATTTATTGATCTAAAGCATTTCACAGATGTATTCACGTCTGCGACGTCAAATTCAGAATACAGGGTTGTTGTGACTATTGTCTGCGAGTGCAAATCTCAACATTCAACTTCAGATTTTTATTTTACAGGTTTTCACATTGGAGTTGTGAGTGTAAATTTTAGTGTAGAAGTATGAATATTGTACACATTCTAAAATTCACATCTACATGCTCTCGAGTTTTGTGGGTGCCGAACAGTTGACGGCACGTCCCATTGACTTCTAAAGTAGGAAGAAATTATATGGAGGTCAATGGATGCCGTCAACTGTTTGATTACCGACATTCTTCAAAATATATTCTTTTGTGTTTAACCGAACAAAGAAAGTCATACAGGTTTGGAACAACTTGAGGATAAGTAAATGATGACAAAATTTTCATTTTGGGGTGAACTATCCCCAGAAGAGAGGTCAAAATAATAAGTGTGGCTGAAAACCATCAACGTGTTTTGGCACATAGGCCTTCATCAGGGCTCAAATGTGTAGTCAGGGTCTTTACGTCCTTTCCAGTGGCCAAATATGTGTAGTTTACATAGCTAGTTTACACGACTGATTCAGGACGAAGCTGATGGAGACCCAGAGTCTCGTCTCAAGACTGCTGAAAAACCTGTCTCATTCCAAAAGTTTTCACCTTATTCATTATAGTGATGTCTGATCTCTTCTGAAAATTGGCACATCACTCACTAAGCATTACGTTGTATTGGTGTCGACACAATAGGCTGAGATGAACAACAAGATCATCCACTTATGAAATAAAACTGACTACAATATTATAAAGAAATAACACTAGTCTCCTCAATCACACAAAAACAGATGTCGTCAGTGAAATGGTCATTTTATTTTATTTCAGAGCCTATAATTGAAGAGAAATGTGTAGGCTACTATATCTAGCCTATAAAAAAAAAAAAAAAAAAAAAAAACATGTTTCAAAAACTCCGAAGTTAAAAGCTCATTGTTTCTTTTTGTTACATTTGTTTCCGGTCTCATTTCATTTTGGCACTTCGATGGTTCAATCAAAGAATAAACACACACTTGCTGCTCTCCAAGAAAGAAACGCCTCCACAAATCTTCTGGTATTTCACAGCAACGCTAGTTTAACTACACATTTGACTGAAAATAATAAATTAATGTACTGATTCTCAAATGATTTTCTTGAACACATTAGATCTGAGATTAACATTCGCTCAGTGTGACACATGACAATGATTTTTAATATGAATCCTTAAAGTCGTTGATTGGGTGAAGCTCTTCTCACACTGAATGCACTGGTACGGCTTCTCTCCAGTGTGAACTCGCTCGTGTGATTTCAGGTTTCCAGACTGAGTGAAACTCTTGTCACAATATGAGCACTTGAAAGGTTTTTCTCCATTATGAATTCGTAGGTGCCGATTCAGTTGCCCAGCTTTAGTAAAGCTCTTCCCACAGTCACAACACACATGATCTCTCACTCCGCTATCTGTTTTCTGGTGAAGTTTAAAACTGTCCAGCCATGAAAAACTCTTTCCACAGAAAGTACAAAAGTGAGGCCTCACATCTGAATGAACTTTTTTCAGATTTGACGATGATCTAAAATCTTTACCACACTGATCACACTTAAATGGCTTTTCTCCAGAGTGAATGCGCAGATGATTACAGAGACCTCTGGGAGATTTGAAACTCACTCCACATTGAGTACAGTGGTAAAGCTGCTCTCCGGTATGAAGTTGCTCATGCACTTTCAGGTTTCCAGACACATTAAATCTCTTGTCACAAACTGAGCACTTGTAAGGTTTTTCTCCAGTATGAATTCGTTGGTGTCGTTTCAGTTGAGTGGCTGTAGTAAAGCTCTTCCCACAGTCACAACACACATGATCTCTCACTTCATTGTGCATTTTCTGGTGCTGTTTAAAACCTTCCAGTCGTGAAAAACTCTTTCCACAGAGAGAACACACATAAGGCTTCTCATCTGAATGAACTTTCAGGTGTTTCTTTAGATCTGAAGGCGAATTAAACTTTTTACCACACTGATCACAGTTAAATGGTTTTTCTCCAGAGTGACGGAGCCGATGATTATTGAGACTTGACACTTGAGAAAAGCTCTTTCCACACTGAGTGCATGTATACGGTTTCTCTCCAGTGTGAACTCTCATGTGTGTGTTGAGGTTTCCTTTCTGTCTGAAACTCTTTCCACACTGTGAGCAGGAGTGCCGCTTTTTGGCTTTTGTTCCTTGAGTTTTCACATCACATTTCTCCTCCACTTCATTCAGTTTGTCTCTTTTCTCCATCCAGTCTAAAATAAACATATTAAGTAGTTAGAATCAGTTCAAAATGCAAGTAAACCCTAATTCAAAGGAATAGTTCCCTCAAAAGTTAAAATACTGTCATCAATCGCTCACCTTCATGTCGTTTCGAACCCATAAGACTTTTGTTTATCTTTGAAAAAACAAAGATATTTAATTGAAACCTGAGAGGTTTCTGTGCCTCCAGTGCAACCCAAAGAGGTCAATAAGGCGTCATAAAACAAAACTATATCAATCCACGAATCAAAAGATACAATCACTTTATATCCTTAATTTAGGGTTATATAGACATATAATCAAAGTCACATACATAGACTGCATCAAATATGGTAAATATGGAGACAGTACAACAGAATTGCCATTTTTGGGTAATATAACCCTCTACAGGTCTTTGTGATTATCAAGAATTTCAATGTGACAAAGGTTAGTTCTGTCATTCTCTTGTTAATGCAATCAAAATGTCTACAAAACTACTATACAAGGTTATGATCATTTAGATGCATGTCTTTTTCATTTCCTATAGTATATTGCTCATTATTTCACCAAAACAGTCAAAATGAAGAATCAATAATGGACACCAACCTTTTTGTTCCTCGATATCTTCATGTTTTATTCTGGATGGTTCTGGATCACTCATGTCTTCAATCTCCTCTTTAATAAACTCCATCTTTGCCATATTATGTCAGGCAGATTGCAGTTGTTGCTTCTTTGCTCTTCTCTTGTAGGATGATGGGATATTACCAGCATTTGAATTGCTGTGGCTGGAAGTCACTAATGAATGATAGCATGTCGCTGTGAGTGCGGCTTGAAGAACCAGACCTGCTGAAGAAAAAAAAAAAAAAAAAAAATGTGATGTTTATAAAACTGATTTACATGTTTAGTGTTTTAAGTTTAATTGATTCCTTTATTTTGTATTTCCATAGTTTTATCTGGGTCATTTCGTGTCAACCAGAGGTACCTAGCTACATTTTTATTTTGCTGGTAAAAGAAATACATAAATGAAGAAGAAAGCCAAAATATTAAATTTAATGAATGTATATTTACTGAGTAATCCACTGTTTTGTAAAGGGGGGTCAAAATGACAATTTTCACCTGAGATTTGGAGCCAAATTACAGAGGGGTAAAAATTACTTTAGAAAGACGGCAGCATCATTACTTCATTTGTATACAGATATTGGTAGGTCTATTGGTAAAATCTGTTGACTTTAGCAATCTTTGTTGCATTATAATCCAACAGTGACGGTTACAAAATAGGAAAAGACACTTCTTGTGTTTTTTGCCCCAAGTTTACATGCCTGTAACTTATAAAGTATTAAAGATCTTTTAATATCCATTTAGATTCTAGTTCATATCAAACTTTTTTTTTTTTTTTGGGTATCTTCATTTTAAAGGCCCATTATGGTTCAATCCCAGAGATATGGAAATCTCAATTTGGCTCATAATTATAAGCAACTAACACTAGACCAAACCCTACAAGGGCTTCTTAAAGTGTAACCAAATAAATTCATCCATTCATTCAGTTCCAGAAGTGAATTTTGTTACATACAACTCAAAATAAAATAAATGTAATAATGACAAATGAGGACATTTAAAGTTTCTGATAAATTGCATAAATACAGTGAATGAATGAATGATTTACCAATGAAACATTGCCTTTATACAATTAATACAGTTGGCAAAATAGCAGACACTGCTAAATGGAATGGAATAGAATAGAAATTGCTCAGATATCGAGGCACTAAAACCAAGTTAGCTAACGTGTAAACGCAACAAAGTAACAAAAAATGTATTCACACAGTTGAACGCGAATGTTTGTAAACGGTAGGCATCTGTTCAAGACAAAGGGGTTTTGTTTCGTTTAGTTATGCATCATTTAAAGCATTAATCATTTAAAGTATCGGTTTTACCTAGTTCTTGTAGTTGTTATTGTTTACCTTCCTCGTTCTGTAGCGCTCATCTCGTCTCATCTGCCCCAAACGCGCTCTCGACTGTCGTAAACACCTACCGTGCGCATGAGCAGCTACTCGCTTGTTTTCCTCCAGGGGGCGCTTTATGATTTACAAAGACGAAACTGCATTGAAGCGCAATATTGCACTGTTACTGTTTGAAGACATTTTACACAACAAGTATAGAGCTACTACTATGTTACTCTGTTGTTGTTGTTGTTGTTGTTGGCATATAGTGGCAAAATAAAGGAGGATTTATTTATTGCTATAAGGATGTGAAGAAAGTTTAAACCGAAAGTGTTTATTGTTAAACCACAACTCAATCAATTCCCACAACTAAGCAATTTAGAAACAAAGGTTATTGGAAGTTCAATGCCTTCCTCTTACAAAATAAAGAATTTTGCAATAAAATTAAGGAATTAATAAGAGATATAGAGATAAATGTTTCTTTTGATTCTATTATAAGTAAATGGAAATTTCTAAAATTTTAAATTCGAGAATTTTCCATTGGTTTCTCTAAGAAACTAATAAAAGAAATAAGAGAATATGAAAGGAATTTAATTTGTTAAATAAGTCACTGTTGTAACAAACCTGTTTTAAATAATTATGAAAATGATAAGGTGATGGAGCTGCAAAGTAAATTAGATAATTTGTATCTTGAGAGGGCACAGGGTGCTTATATAAGATCGCGCGCCAAGTGGATTGAGGAAGGTGAAAAGAACTCTTCATATTTCAGTAATTTAGAAAAAAAATAGACAGCAAAGGAACTCTGTCAGTAGTTTAATGATCCAAGGAGAGAAATGCAAAGATTCTAAAATAATTGAAAAAGAAGCGTTTCAGTTCTATTCTAAATTATATTCCTCAGATTTCTCTTCCTATGATTCAGATCTTCTTTTTTTTTTGCTCAAATCCAGAACAATATTCCACGTATTGAGGACTCTTTCAAAGTTTTATGTGATTCGGATCTTAAAATAGAAGAATTGGATTCAGTTGTTGAGAAGATGCCTTTAAACAAATCCCCAGGGACAGACGGGCTCACTAATAATTTTATGGGGGGAGATTTGAGAAATCTATTATTTTGTGCCCTAAAAGAAGGTATTGAAAAAAAAGAGTTGATTGAAAGTATGAAGCAAGGTTTTATTACATTGATTCCCAAAGCTGGTAAAGATAAAAGAGTCTTAGACAATCTAAGGCCTATCACTTTGCTTAACATTGATTATAAAATCTTTTCTGGGGCTATCGCTGCTAGGCTGAAAAAGGGTATTTCTACTATAATTAGTGAGACACAATCAGGGTTTTTGGGAGGAAGGTCAATTCATAATACCGTAATATTCGATTGGTTTTAGATTTACTCGATTATAGTGGTTCAAGTGGTTCAAGAGAGTGGGTTTCTTTTTTTTTTTTTGATTTTTACAAAGCTTTTGATGCTGTTGAGCATCCTTTTATTTTGAAAACCTTACATAATTTTGGTTTTGGAGTAAAATTTATAAATCTAATTGAAATGTTATATAATGGAATCAATAGCTCTGTAGCTCTAGGGCATGGAACCTGCTCAAGATTTCCAATTAAAAGAGGGATTCATCAGGGTTGTGGTAGCTCTCCACTATTATTTATAATGGTTGCAGAGTTATTATCTATATTGATTAAAAATAATGGTATTGAAGGTCTTACAGTGTTATAGTTATGTCAGTTTGCTGACGATACAACACTGTTTCTAAAAAATGAATATCAAATTCCACTAGCTTTACATTCTATTAACCAGTTTTCTAAAGCTTCGGGGCTACATTTAAACCTAAGCAAATGTGTAATGTTAAAGGGATAGTTCACCCAAAAATGAAAATTAAGTCATTAATTACTCACCCCCATGCTGTACCAACCCCGTAAGACCTTCGTTCATCTTCGGAACACAAATGAAGATATTTTTGATTAAATTGAGAACTGAGAACTGAACAAGAAGTAGTAGAAGAAGAACGTCCTCTTCTCAGTTCTCGCGCATGCGTCGTGGAAATCTCTTGAACTCTCGTCTCAGGCCCACAAGGAAGAAAAGGAATAGTCGAATAAAGTCGTTATTTTTCTTTGTTTTTCCGCACAAAAAGTATTCTCGTCGCTTGATAAACTTATAGTTGAGCCACTGTAGTCACTTGGACTATTTAAACATTTTCTTCAATGACTTTCTGGGCCGTCAAGTTTCACTCCCTTAGGAAGCCTATGTAGGAGTGATCCAGCTCTCAAATTTAAAACTCATCCTTGATTGGTCTGATGACCTACCCCTAACCCCGCCCCTAAACCTACCAGTCACTGGGGTTAAGACCTGTCTATGGTTAAGACCTGTCAGGGATGAGTTCCCTAATGAATATTCATGAGTCTTCCCCTACCATCCTGGGGAAAAAAATATCGCTTCCGGGACGGCAATTTTTTAAAATTGGAATTTCTCTGAAATTAAAAATCTTTGGAGACTTTTGGGATATTGTAAGTACACAACTGCAGGAAATATATCACACTGTGCAAGTGATTTTTGGATATTTTATTACAAAAATCTTACATATTGTAGCTTTAATATAATATTGCATACATTGTCAGAGCTTGGTAGACAGGTAACTATTATATTTGTAGATCTTATTAGACAGATTAAATGATTATAATTAATATTATTTATTAATTTGTCGGATGATCTCAGACAAATTCCATTGAGAATCCCACCAGTGTTAAAAATACAACAGTTTTTATAAAATAGAGACAAAATTGTAATTTATTAATACAATTGAATTATACTCCACAGTGACGAATCCAAAAAAACAAGCTAAGCTGCATTGGCATAGCAATACCAGTCTTTCTCACTTGTTTTTTGGTAAAGCTGTAGTGACTGGACCTCTGTCCCTCTAGGGGGGTTCGGGGGCATGCTCCCCCGTAAGAAAATGTTGTGCTTTTTAATGTTAAATTCATCAATCTGGTGCACTTTGAGAGTTCAAAGTAAAAAGCTCCAACCCATATTCAGTGTGAAAATTAAACAAAGAAAAATGCAAACCTCTTTTAGTTACAGCGTCTGTCTACATTACACTACATAATACTAGTTATAATATTAATCCCATGATAGTAATAGCCATATATTATAAAATAAATGCACTGAAAAATAAAGGAAACTTTTTTATTTTTCCACGCTATTTCTCTGCACATTCCTTGTTTCTTCTCCATCTCTCAGACTATTTTGAGTGCATTTTGAGGTGTTTAAAGATGTGATTGGCCCAGCCCAGTGTCAATCAAGAAAAGAACCAATGGGCCGCTGATCTACATGTTTCATGGGCCGGATGTGTCAGAAAAAAACTAACGCTGACTTTTTTTGACTAATGCATTACACCGGCACTAACCCAGCGCCGCTAATTAAGCAAAACAAAACAAAACGAATGGGCTGCCGATGTACGAGTTTTCTGGGCAAACAAGACACAAAAAAAGTATGAGATGTATCGGCCCAAAAAGCACGTCGGCCCACCTGTTGCCTTTCACCATCCACTTATTTAGTTGCTGTCGCATCAATTGACATGCCATCTCCTTTTCCCTCTTTCTTATTCTATTTCTTTAGCCCCCGACAGCTTGTTTGCGTTCGACGACAACGCACTACGGCGCCGGTCGTACTCACGGCTGAACGCTTGGTCAGCGCTCACGGCGCCCGCGCGCGATATTATCCCCCCTCTTCTGCGCTCACGGCGCCCGCTCGCGATATTATCCCCGCTCTTCTATGTCAAAATTCTATGATGGAACCTTATGAGGGCACCTACTCTAGCCTGTCAGTCCATTAAAATGTCATATAACATTGAGGAAATGCAGAAATTATTTAGAAACGCACAACAGCAGCTACATATATCAAATAAAACAATATATAGGCCTATATATATAATTATAAAAATTATATCATCGCTTTGGCGCCCCCATAGTGCTGCGCATCTATGCGCCGCATATATCGCATAGCCTACCCACTTTTTGCTAGCCTGGCTGCCAGCCCGAACCCCGCCCACAACAATTTTTGGTCGGGAAGTTCGGTCTGGACTCAATCCATTGAGGAGTAATTATGATCAGTCAAAAAATGGTCGGACCAATCAAATTGCCAGGGCGGGCTTTATACGATGATGGACAGATTATCTGCCGTTACGTAATCATCACGTCACCAAAGAGCGCTTGGGTTGAACTGGTTTCGCTCAAAGTTGACTACAGCTGGAGAATTTAGATGTATAGATTCCGCTATCGCGTCTGTTGTAAAAGAAATCGACAGCGCATTCATTTTAAAAGACGAACAGAGAACTGGAATCAAGGCATTTGTCGAAAGATGTGTTTGCCGTCCTTCCTACGGGATTCGGCAAAAGTTTAATTTATCAGCTGGCTCCGATGGTCACTAAGAAGATGGGACGCAATGAAAACACTGTGGTCGTTGTGGTTTCTCCTTTGGTCGCACTCACGGAGGACCGACCAAGTAAAAGAAGCAACACTCATTATTTTACTACTTCTTCCAGCGCGCGTGTAGTTGAGTTCTGTTGACAAGTTTGCGTAGCTCAACATACGTCACTTACTGCGTTGCTCTGATTGGTTGTAGGTCTATCCAATTGAGTGCAGAGTTTTTTTTTGTTTTTTTTCTGGTTCGGTTAAGACACGCCTCATAATCAAAGCCCTATGGAGCAGTATCAGACTCACATTCTGACTAGAATATGAGTATGACGAAGTCAGGCTAACTTTTTGCGCCACTGCTTTGAATTATTAGAAAATAATGCGCATCCGAGCTGTAACATTACCAGCTCAGGTGTGCATTATTTTCTAATAATTCAAAGGCCTGTCATCAATTATTTCTTATTTATACAGATACTCATCACCACTGCCACACATAATTTATTATCCAGCTTGAATGAAATCTGAGAGCTTTCTGGCCCTCCATTAACAGCTAAGCAATAACCACTTTGCTGCTTCAAAAAGGTTCATAAAAAGATCGCAAAAATAATCCATGAATTGAGTGATTTAGTCAAACAATTTCTGAAGAGACACGGTCGCTTTATATGTTGAACAGATTGAAATTAGGCTCTCAGAATTCATCACAAAGATCTTTATTTGTGTTTTGAAGATGAACGAAAGTCTTACAGGTTTGGAACGACATGAGGGTGATTAATTAATGACAGAATTCATTTTTGGGTGAACTAACCCTTTAAAGGGGCTGTGTGTAGGATTTTACTTAAAAAAATCTTTAAGATAGAGTTTTCATTTGTACATTTATGAGCCAACCATAAGGTAATAGAAAGAATGACACCATGACTGTCCACCACGGTTGCCTCTCTCAGCCTGTAGGCTCAATTGTGTGTGGAGGAGTCGGGTCCGAATTGGTGCGAAAATTCACTAAATGTGACGCCATGCGCGTTCTCGGTTACTATTGCTTACATCCGTACGGTAGCCATTACTGCTAGCGATTGCCGCTGCGGCCAAAATAGAGAGCGTCGGGCAAAGACAAGAGTCAACATCGGAGCTTGTGAAAGAAGTTCACCTGTGTGTGTGTCTGTGCGCGAGCGAGAGTGCGAGCGAGCGAGTGAGTGTGAGTGAGTGCGAGCGAGTGTGTGTGAGTGAGTGTGCAGCGAGAGTGCGAGCGAGTGAGTGAGCGAGAGTGTGAGTGTGTAATGAGTGTGTGTTTGTTGTGAGTGACAGAAGTGTTCACCTGTGTTCCTGCCTCTCGTCTGTCACTCATTAGCGACGGCTCGCTCTCGATCTGTGTGTGTGTGTTTGTTTAGTTTAAAGACCCACTCCGATGAAAATAATGTTTTTCTAGGTGTTAACATGTTCTTGTGGCATTTTTCTGTTGTTAGAGGACATATCTTGAGAAAAATAAGCTCAAAGTTGTATTTCTACATTCAAATGGCTGTGAATCAGTAGCAGACGCTAAAATGCCGGCTAAAATAGACTGGAGTTGTGACGTAGTAACTCCACTGGGCGTCTCCACACGCGACGTCTTGGAGTGAAATAATGATCGGTGATAACTTTGATTAACTTCGGATAATAATAATTAACGTGTATATAATACTGTTGCCCCACCGGTATTGGGGATGTAAGCTAGCGGGAGAGACAGAGCTCTCAGCAACGGGTAGGGGGAGGGTCGTCTCCGTGCCAACGGCTCCGCCCACAACGCAGAGGCGAATTGCTAATGAGCTACTGCCGCTCTGCTGAAGCGAAGTCCCAGAAAACGGCACAGGTTTTGTGATTTTGGCTAAAAATGGCATAATCATAATTTAAAGACCACTGGGAATGTTTAAAAATAGCTCAAAATATGATCGGAGTGGGACTTTAACACATGCTGGTGAATCTCGATGAGCCGTTTGTGGTTGCTGCGGCAACTCTCTGGTTGCTGTGGTCGTGCTCGTACGAGCGCGCGCACCGAGAACGAGCATGAGATGCTGCAGTTTCTCTAACGGCCACTGGTGTCAGTAACGGTTAGAAATTTCAGAACTTACGCAATGCTCCTTTAAAGGAGTCATAATGTGCAATTTTCACTTTTCCATGAGAATCAATGTATGTTATGATTGACTAACGATTATACATTGGCCGGGATGCCGATATTCAAAAGTGAAGCGTTTGTTTACCCCAGGGTTCTTAAACTAGCCAACGTGCACGCGCACTCAAATACGAGATTTCAATTTCTCCCCCGACTTGACGTCAAGACGGGGCCGGATATACCATTTATGGACACCGCAGAGGAGGCCCGCCCTGCCCCTCTCCCCATCATATTCAGTCAAGAAAGATGCAGAAACGTAGTGCACACGTGAGTTGCTCTGTGGTTGACTGTCATAATCCACATTCTAATGTTTTTTCTTTACCCAAAACTGACCAAACTACAAGGGACAAGTGGATGAAACTTATTTTTAATGACGCTGTTCCAACAACCATCTCAACTTGCTCAACGTTAGGTGTCTGCGCTAAACATTTCACAAAAGAATCTTTTACAAATTTGGGGCAATATCAGGCGAAGTTGGCATCGAAGCTACATTTGGAAAAAGGTGCCATTCCAACAATCATGGACCTGAATTTGAAACGGTAAGACTGTGTTACCATTACTATAATTTGTGTAACAAACAGCAGCTAACTACTAATGCGGTTAATGTATGTGATAAGGATAGATACATTTAAAAAACAGTCAAGAATTAATAAACATAAAGAAAAACATAACGTTACATGTCTGCAGATGAAAATGATTAAATATCTAAAAAACCACAACGTCAAAAAAGGCAAAAACAACACATTATAGCAAACATTAATCTCTACAACCACTGTAAGCTGAAAATAAAGTAGACTACATCTCCGTTAATGTAATCTACATTAAATTAAAAGTAAACTTATGTGGGAGAAAATAGCAAAAAAACGTTTTAGCTCGTTACTGATGTTAATGTATGTCTCAGTCAAAAAAATTGTCTTTACCATTCAGAGACATGTTGATGTAGACGTCCTTCAATTGACTGTTGTTCCTCTTCCGTTTCCAGCTCTGGTTCAGAGTCTGGCTCAAACATATACGGTTGAATCCCGTAGGTCGCGGCCAGGTCGGGTTCATTAACAACTTGCGCCATGATCTCTTTTTGGAATGATATACTGAAGTTACCTGCGGTGTCAAGCCCCCTCCTTCCTGCCACCAATCAACGCGCCCCTCATTTGCATTATTAAAATGACCGTCCACGACAGCCAAAACCTCGCATCAGATCTCGCGAGACAATAATGCATTTAGAAATAAGGGTCAAACGAGCTCTGTGTTTATTTTTTTCCAATTTTTCTTTTTTAGAAGGGCATGAAATGACTATAATAGAGCGTGGGTATCAAAGTTAATACTACATTATGACTCCTTTAAGTCTTTATTAACCAAGCTTTTCACCACATTAACAAAACTAATCTAGATGATATAGTGCTTTTATGAAAAACTCCATATTTCATCTCAGTTTACTTGAATGTATTTGACATGAAAACTAATGTTGATCACTTCAAACATTTTTTCATATGTGTGTGAAGGCTTGCTAAACTTTTAAAACTCTTCTCACACTGAGTACAGTAGTACGGCTTCTCTCCAGTATGAAGTCGCTCATGTGATTTCAGGTTTCCAGAATGAGTGAAACTCATGTCACAATATGAGCACTTGTAAGGTTTTTCTCCAGTATGAATTCTTTGGTGCAGTTTCAGACAGTCCGCTCTAGTAAAGCTCTTCCCACAGTCACAACACACATGATCTCTCACTTCATCATGTGTTTTCTGGTGCAGTTTAAAACTGGCCAGCCATGAAAAACTCTTTCCACAGAGAGAACACACATAAGGCTTCTCATCTGAATGAACTTTCAGGTGTGATTTTAGATTTGATAACAAATTAAAATCTTTCCCACACTGATCGCAGTTGAATGGTTTTTCTCCAGAGTGACGGAGCAGATGAACACTGAGAACTGATGCATCTTTGTAACTTTTCCCACACTGAGTACAGTCGTACGGCTTCTCTCCAGTATGAACTCGCTCATGTGATTTCAGAGATCCAGACTGAGTGAAACTCTTGTCACAGTATGAGCACTTGTAAGGTCTTTCTCCAGTATGAATTCTTTGGTGCTGTTTCAGATTGCCAGCTAGAGTAAAGCTTTTTCCACAGTCCAAACACACATGATCTCTCACTCCATCATGTGTTTTCTGGTGCTGTTTAAAATTGTTCAGCCGTGAAAAACTCTTTCCACAGAGAGAACACACATAAGGCTTCTCATCTGAATGAACTATCAGGTGTTGTTTTAGATTTGATGACGAAATAAAATCTTTACCACACTGATCACAGTTAAATGGTTTTTCTCCAGAGTGACGGAGCCGATGAACACTGAGAGTTGATGCTTGAGAAAAACTCTTTCCACACTGAGAGCAGGAGTGCAGCTTTTTGGCTTTTGTTCCTTGAGTTTTGAAGTCGCAGAGTTCCTTCACGTCATTTAGTTTCTGTCTTTGCTCCGTCACTTCCATCTGGTCTAAAATAAATGTATTAATCAGTTAGAATCAGTTCAATGAGGTTAAATGTGAGAATTAAAAACACTTAGCAAGCAGAAAACAAGACACCTGTCTGTATAAAGTATCTTTAATCAGGGTTCGTACACCTTTTCCAAGGTCAAATTCAAGAACTTTCAAAGTCCATTTTAAAGCTTTTTCCAGCACCTAACACCACCGTAAATTACATACCAATACATAGTCAAAATTAGTATTTAACGTTTTTATCACATTAAAAGAGATAATGCTTAAAACAGGCAAAATTGTGTTTCGTAATAGCAGAAGGATCAGATATTTAAAGCAACACCATGGAACTTTTCCTCTTCGGGCGCCCTACTGGTTGGAAACTAAATTGTCCATTACCACTGTCGTAAATAATTTAGCCTACCGTCGCATGCACGCTCACTGTTTATCCAGCACCGGCTTCAGAATGAACGATGTCCACAGACAAGGTAGAGTATGTTACATGATTTCATGAAAGTATGATGTATTGCGACATCAGAAACGAAGAAAAACGAAATAATGACTATTGTAACGCTTGACATAAAGCAAGTCAAATTTCTAGTTTTTTTATGTCTCATTCGGACTACAGACACGCGACCCGATCTGGCAAACTTGCATAGCGTAGTTATAGCAGATATAGGACCGCAAAGCCAATCCAGAAGTGCCTTTCACCCTGTTACGACTTGATAAACCACTGATAAGATTTTGTAAACATTATTTTAAGGTAAAAAAAAATGTTCCATGGTGTTGCTTTAAGCAAATCACAAGTTTTATTTTTCAAAATGTATCATGGTCTAAGTAGATAATGCCTATGTGTAACCCCTCCACCCGGGTCCCACTCAACCCACTCCGAGCGGGCCTCGAACCCGGATCTCCGGCATGAGAGTCAGGCGCTCTTAACAAGGAGGCTGAAGACTGCAGCCTCTAGGCACCTGTCGCTAGAGAGCCTTTTGAGATCAGAGGAGTGAGGTTTACTCGCACAGCGACTACTAGCTGGCCTCCGTTACATTTCATTGCTTTTCATTTTATTAATGTCCAAATAATGCTTCCTAGTAGGGCTGTCAACTTTAGTCGTTTAGTCGACTAATCGGTCGATGCCATCTTGGTCGACTGACATTCTTATTGGTCGACCAGTTGTATTTTTTTTTTTTTTTTACCAATAGAAAGATATTTGATATTTATTCCTTTATAAGCAGTTATATATTACTGTATTCTAAATATAATTAGCCTATGGTTTATCCCCAACTTTAAATGCTTTAATTTAGGCTATTTTGTAACAGCGCCACAGTTTAGCGCACACACATAGAACACTCGGTTCGCCCCTGTGGCTGCGCTGCTGCTTCGTGCTCAGTAAGGAATATAGGTAGTTTAGCTGTATTCATTCAGTTATAATGCTACTTGTTTCGGTTTTTATGTTTTTATACACTATATGTTTTTATCTCGATGCGGCGTGGACGCACTTGGAAAAAAAAGAGCGCGTTGCTTCCATCATGAGCGCGCACACCGCGCGCCTACATTTGAAATCGAACTTGAGCGCGCAAAAGACGTGAGCAGTCCCTTTAACGGCTTTATCATGCTGACTCAATAGATTGTGTTTTCTTGATATGTTTTTGTTTTTATTTGTACACTTGATGCATTTGAAAATAGCCTAAATAATGTAACAAAACGAAAATAAACCTATATGCGGTCCTACAATACAGCCTATTATTATAATAGGATTGTTTTTTAGGCTCTTTGGGTTTTTTTGTCTGTTTGTTTTAAAACTCCTAGATCGGCTGGACAAAAGTTAACCCATAGCTTTGAAAGACAAGTAAAGAAGAATATAGGCTACAGCCTGTAAACGAGAGCTTTTGTTAGGATTTTTCATTGTGGCAGATAGCAGTTATATTTTGTGTAGCGTGTGGTGTGGTCAGGTGCGCGATTGTGACTGTTAGCCTACTATAGACCTAGGACAGAGCTCCTAACTTTGCAGTTAAAAAAAAATCACTTAATTTTAAAAGAATTGTATTATTATTATAGTTTTATGTATTTTTGATGTTTTTTCGTTGTTGTTTTATAAATGCTATGACAATTGTTCAAAAATGTTCAATCAAAACATCGTGTCTTTTTTTTTTTTTTTTTTTTTTTTTTTTAGTCGACTAATCGTTGCGCAGGACAGGACTTTGGTCGACTAAGGATTTCTTTGGTTGACTACAGCCCTACTTCCTAGATAATATGATTTTCAGGCTGTAAAACTGAAGAAATTTCAAGGGCTGAAAATATGAATACATAGGATTTGGGCCTTGGTTTTGGGACACATTCTTGATATAGACAAGGTTTGAACAAAATCAGAGTGCAACAACAACCTGTAATTCAATTTTAACCCAGAAGACTCTGACAGTGCACAGGCACCTGCCTGATAAATAGCCTACTAATAAAAAAAAATAAAAAAAACATTATTTCATTGCCAAGATATATACATTTATCTACTGGAATAGACCAGTGTAAATATTCCATAAGGCCATCCTCAACCTTACAGTTGGCTACTTTTTTGTTTTGCACTGGGCTAACGTTTGCAGTTTTTTGCGGGTAGTTAATGTTACAGTTACTGTGCTGAAACTTTGGCTATGTTCACTGCATATTCCACAAATAAACGTGCCATAACGGACATGCAATACTAACATTATATTATCACACCAAGTACTTTTAGTCATTAATGGCCCTTTCAGACAGGACGCGGAATGCGCTGCGCTATTAAACCCATTTATTTCAATGGCTTGCGCCGCGTGAAGACGCTTTGTTGCTGACCAAAGCAGAGCGCAGCATTGGCAAGCGCGAGTGCATGCCGCGGTCAAAGTTAAAAATAGTTCAACTTTTGCCGCTGCGTTCTGTGAGGAATACCTGCACGGCCAATAAAAACGGGACATCCAAACAAGCGCGGAAATCAAAATTAAAACTCCGCCTACTTTTGCTCTGGCCAGCAAATCACTCTGGATCTGAAGGGCTACATTTTATTTCTCCATTCAATAAACAAACTATTCAGTCAGATAGGCAGTGTTGTGCCTGAACGCGTTCATTGAACGATAGAAAAATCGTACATTTCTGTGCAAACTTTGCCCGCCAATAAAATAATAGCTGTCTGTGATTCTATATGGGCTGTGGCAAATAGGCCTAATTTTGAAAAAAATATATATATATAGCTTGCAGCAACATATGGAAAAAAATAACTATGAACTACTTTAAACTAAATTTTAAAGTATGAACTATGAACTGAACTAGGCCTAGTTCATTTTAAAATTTGTGAACTGAACTTTGAACTAGTTCACGTAGAAGGTGAACTTTCCCAACACTTCAGATAGGTATCTGTTGTGAAATAAATACAGTTACAATTTCAAGCATTTTATCCTAAATTTAAGCACTTTTCAAACCTTGAAAACACAACATCAAAATTCAAGCATTTTCAAGGATTTCAAGCACCCGTACGAACCCTGTTTAATGTGCAAAGTTCGGTTCTGTCATTCACTTGAAGAGTTTGGTTCCAAAACGCAATAAATCCATTTAGATTAATTTGAGTAAAAATGTGTTTTCTTTACCAAGAAAGTGGAAAGATGAAAACCACTATTTTCTGTTTCAAACGTTCACATAGCATTTGTAGGTCATAATAACAAAAAAAATTAAAATCCAGGTTTTGATTTTCAAAGATTTATTATAAAAACGGATTATTTTTTTCCCCAAAATGCAATAAATCCATTAAAAAAAATAATCAAAATGCAATTAATCCATTGAATCAATATAAAAGTTTTTTTTTTTCATATTGAAACTGTTGAAAATACACAACAACGTAAGTTTATTAGTATAATATTTTTATTAAGAACTGTAAAGAAGATTGAAAACATGTTTCCTCCTCCCGAGTGCCTCATCTTCATCTCCTCACGTAAATGATTCGATTTCGATGCCTTGCGTTTCTCACCCACCGCAGAAACAACCACAGGTTCATCAATGCCTCAAAATTATTCATTTTTTTGTTTGTTTGTTGATCGAAAAGTACAAAATCGATAAGAAAACTAGGAAGCCGGGTGTATTTAAGGCGCTGCCGTTACTGTTTACATTGCGTGGAATGGTGCGTTGTGATTGGTTGAGAGCGGATATATCGCATTCTGCAGAGAAGGGAGACTGGTGTTTGTCGCGGTTTGGAAAGAAAGGGAGAAAACATGACAGAATAACACGGCGGATATCGCATTTTACTTAAAATTAAACATTGACTTTTCAATACCAACCAGATACAATACTGATTTTTGCAGTAACTAATTTTTTTTCAAAATGGCGTTTATCGCGTTTTGGAACCAAACTCTTCACTTGTTAATGCGATTAAAACTGGGTTATGATAATTTAGATGCATTTCTCTATCATTTGTCATCCATATTTTCAGAGTTACCAAAGCAATCAACAATGAAGAATCAAGAATGGACACCAACCTATTTGTTCCTCGGTATCTTCATGTTTTATTCTGGATGGTTCTGGATCAGTCATGTCTTCAATCTCCTCTTTAATAAACTCCATCTTTAACAGTCACACAGATTTCAGCTGCTACTCCTGGAGTTTGTCCTTCTCTTGTAGGATGATGGGGATATTCCCAGTATTTATTGGTGAATTGTTGTGGGAGGGGCTTCACTGCAGGTGTGAACTGTGATCACTGTGTGATACTGACCAGATCTGGAAAAATCAAAGATAAGTTACTGAATTTATACATTAAACACATATGGTGACTTTGTTTTAGTTCAAATATAGAGCATTTTTACGGTTGCAGTGCATATTCGTAGCATATGTATACTGACAGTCTGATAATAAATCAGATGTAGGCTACCTACAATAACATTACCATGTCCAGCAATCGATTTAAATAGTACATTGGGTTTGATTTGTCGTTTAATGAGATCTAATTAGTTAGCTGTTAGTAGTTTCACGTGAATAAATGCATAGATCCGACTGTTCTACATATTTACTTTAATGGTCCAGTGTCATGACGTCATAAACAGTGAAGCCACCGCGACGCCATATTGGCATTCCCTAGTGAGCTCACGCATTCTATTGAATCAATAGGAAATTGTATGATTTGACTGAGAAAACATTGCATAACGAGACACCGTTTTTAAATCAAAGTCATTATATAGATAAGTGCTTCTAACCCGCACTCGTATAGTTTGTTTCCTTATTAAAATCGATTATGTTTATCAATGGTTGGTTGTACATCAAGCAGGGATACATTTGTGTGCATTTTATTTTGTGATTTCACCGGAACGAATAAAAAGTCTCCGCAACGGATTAAAGCGCGCTGAAGAATACGGTGTGCGCGAGCCACAAGAGACACACTAATCGCAAAGTCAACGAGCACTTTGATCACTTGATTTAAAAAACAACATATTTCAGCGTGCTAGATCACTTCTTATTTAACAAACCACCTAAATGAATGCTCTGCAAGTTAACTGGAGATGTTTTATTATTTGTATTGGTACATCTGATCCGTGCCGCGAGATGTTTCAAAAGTGGTGGCGACAATATATCGACCCTCGCAAAAAGTAATGGGGACATCTACCCGCAAATTACGCCCCTGCATTTAGGCAACACAAACATCAATTCTTACATGATAAATATAACATCTCTGACCTGCAAATTGGAGATATACGGCATCTGGGAAAAATATTCCACCTTTGTTCTTCATTCACGATCGTTAACAGCGTTACTTTCAGATTCAAATGGTTAAAGTTTCAGCGTTCGTCTCGTCTCTCGCGCTTCTCTCTTTTCATGTGTTTGACTGTTACATTCATTTTAGCGTCAAAAGAGACAACAAAATTGAAAAAGAGAGAAAAGAGTAAACAAAACTCTAGAGAGGCTCTCGCACTTCTCTCTTCTGCGCATGCTCAGTGCGCGCGGTGTCATGTTTCTTAAAGGGGCCGCATTCAGTAAATCACATCTCCGCTCTGTTATGGACCAAATCCACTATTACAATAATTAATAATGCACAGTAATAATAATATATATGATATATGGATTCAACAATAGATTCACCCTTACATAGATTCACTGGAACTTGGCTCATAGCCTACATTTTAGTCCAGATCAGTAAGCTATTTTAAGAAAACAATTATATTAAAATATAAATTAGATAATTAGGTCATCTCAATTATAAGAAAAAACTCAAACCAGAACCTACATTTAACCCATATGGGGAAAGTTTTTAATGTGGATTGTATCACGTATGACGTTGCAAATAATCAAAATATTTGAGTGAGTGTGCAGTTCAACTCTTTACTTAGAGAGAGAGATTTACATATATGCCTATTATAAATGTGTCTTTTGTGTGTTCACACCATAGACTGTAAAAATAAAATCACATGTTTCCAATTATCTACTGTAATGTTGCTCTAGAAACCATATGGAGTATGTTTTAATGCAAGGAGTAAACAGGGTCTTACCAGAAGAGGCCAAGCAAAAGACAGGCAACAAAAGAAAATTAATTTTAAATTGAGTAGAGAAGACTAGGGGCAGCTAAACCTACATGTGGTTAGCTAAATTTAAGCCAGATAGAACATAAACCTGTCAACATACATTATAGACCCATCCATTGATATATAAATTAATTGATATACCTATCCTAGCTCTATCGAGCTAATCGTTTATAAATAATAAATGTTGCATCATTGCTAAACAACAACAACTTTGGCAGATTATTTAACAAATGACAGAACCTATAATATTTTTTGTCAGATTTTCATTCTAACGATGTTAATCTTGATTATATGGTATTATTACTTTGTCTTCTGGGCAAGTTTCATCTTCATAAAGACAGAACCATTCAATGTAATCCGGATTTTAAAATATTCTCCTCTGATATAAAGTCCCTTTTTTCTTCCTTTAAAGTGTAAATTCCAGGTAAAAATTTTCACGAAGATAATGCAATGTGCTTACTAAACATAAAGATAAGAACCGCCCACCATTGTTTTTTTTACGTTTTTTATACCAAAATGCTGAATATAATATGAAAAGTTGGTGCGTTTTACAGTGGTTTTAAGCACCCCCCCTCCCTTCCACTAGCTGGGCGTGACGTCATAAAAGGTACTCCAAGCTATTACTGTCTATGCTCCAGGCCTGGAGTTACGTTATATTGGAGACCTAGGTAGCAAAAATGGTTAACTATTGTGTTTGTGCGGGATGTACGAATACATCAAAAACGGGGGAGAGGCTCCACAAGTTCCCCAAGGACAAACGGCTGATTCGTGCCTGTAAGTGTTAGCATAACTTACCCGAGGTAGAGCTTAGATCGGGCCCAAAAAAAATCAAGCAAGACCCTACCCGAGCCCGCTGTGTCCGAGCCCGGCCCGGCCCTGCCCGACACATTAGGGACTTTAAGCAACAGCCTCTGGTGGAACGGCAACGGCATTCTGTCGTTCTATTGCGCATGCGCGACATTAACTGCTACTTCGTGACGTTCTACTGTAACCGTCTACAACGGGAGAACAGCTGATTTGCCGTAGTCGATACTACGTGACAGATTAAGAAAGTTAATGTTATGTTTTAGGTTATGTGGCATTATAATCGTTTCTGTATATCATTAAATGCCCAAATCAACCCTTCTCTTACTTTTTAAAATCAGTTTATTTTTTGTATTTTGTCTGATGATTAAATTATCCCCTATGCCGTCCTCTTTACTGTTGCTTAGTGATTTTTGCGCTCTTTAGCTACGGCAGTTAACCGTTTACTTCCGGCTGCCGTTGCCGTTCTATCAGCAGCTGTTGCTTAAAGTCCCTATTAACTGTAATTATGAGCCCGGTTTAAACCCGACTATTTTTTAATACGTGGGTCGTTCTAACTGACGTTCTCAACTACTTTCTATTACTTTCTCCCGCCCGCAACATTTATGTTTTGTCCCGCTCCCACCCGCAAAAAGACTTTTTTTCTGTACCTCCAAATACTTTCAAGTTAGCCTACGTGTCGCCACCATACACATCAGCATACATGCTCCTGATCACTGTTATAACATAAAAGCAAGCGGGCTACTGCGTGCATGGTCTGGCATGACTGCGTGCAAAGTGCGCTCCCATAATAATTCATAAAAAGCTGACATCAGTTCATCGCGATCTCACACATCTCTGTTATTATCAATGAAGCTTTCATAATATATACACTATGTTTGTTATAATTCGAGGATTTGCCAGCATACAGAATACAGCACTGAACAAAAAGTCCGTTTTGAGCGGTGAGGGAAGTCCATCGTAAATGCCTCTGATTGGTCATTATTGCGTTCAAGAAATCAACACGTATGTCTGTGATTGGCTACATCGCTCAACGCTGCAGACATGTTAGAAATAGAAACTCTGCCTGTAAACCGTTTCTATTTTGTTTTAGTTGTTCTTATTGCTTTTCTGCAACAGATGAATAAAAATGTATTCGTTTTTATGTTTTATTCATAGATATTTCTAGTTTGCAGGAGTCCCGCGAATCGTTTTATTCTCCCTCAACCCATAGACAGTATAAGAAGTGGACAGAGCGATCTCATTGGAACTCAGTTGAGACAGTTGAAGCCCATTTTTAGCGATTTCTGAGCACTTCCGTTCCTGACGCGCAGACTCAAACCGACTCAAACTAAGCTTGATGACGTGAGCAACCTGTCTGACAGACGTTACTCTTCTAGTAGCTGTGCGTGAAAATTGCCAACGTTAATCTTGCAGAGACGGGGAACTTGAGCAAAGAGTTCTTTGGCGTGAGTGAGCAGGAGTAAGTATTCCGTTGCTTTTATGGACTCATTATCTATGGGCTTCTCCCTTGACGGGGCGTCCCCCCGATTGCCTGCGAGCTTCTCCTCCTGTCTGTACGGTAATTTCTGTACAGCGCAACAGAGAGTCGAGTGGTTATGACGCAATCGTTAGCCTATTTTTACTAAAACTGTTTCTACGGGGCCATACTGTAACATAGAAGGTAATGGAGCACTTTATACATTGTCGTGTTTCTTTAGAAATAAATAATGGACAAATGGAGTCTTTAAACGCCTCAGATGTAAAGTTATTCGCTGTCAAAGTGACGCCAAAATGAATGGGAGTCAATGGAAATGCTAACGCAAGTGAAGTTCTGCTACAACATGGCGGCACCCGGCCGGCTTCAACTTCCGGTCGATGGATTACCCCCTTGCCTCAACCGGCACACACAGAGTGAGTGCATTACCGCCCGCGCTCCCTTTTATGACGTCATCACCCAGTTATGTAAATAACATGCTACCTTTGAAGAAACCCCAACAAATGTTATTTTAACGCATTTTAAGACAGAAATTTTTACATATATACACATTGAGCACTTTAATTTACACATGAATTGGTTGTGGTGGTTAACCTGCAATTTACACTTTAAGAAAATGTTAAAACCTTTAAACTCAAAGGTTTCTAAAACAAATAATATCCTTGAGTCCGTTGTAAAGAACCTTAATTTTTTTTATATTGACAAAATATAAAAAAAAATATTGTATTGATTTGTGTACCCTAATTCAATCTCTTTTGATGTCCGGATACCCCCCTTGTTTTATTGTTGAAATAATTTAATCCGTGCCGATCTACACTGTAACGTTTATATTTAAATGAACAAAAAACACAAAATTGTCAAGTCTATGGACGGGTTATTAATGTGTAAGCGTCGATTTAATGATGTTATTTCGCA